TTTTTGTAACGATCTTTATTAAAAGCAATAACTAGAGAAAGTAGCATATCAAAAATCGTTCATAAATTTACAACACAAAACTTTCAATGCCTTCAGATGTGTTTTTATAGAATCAAACTAATTTCTACTACAACCAATAAAAGTATAATTGATTTAGAATAGGTAGACATTTGCATTACAGTTTTATAGATAGCGATTAAAATGTAGGTATTCACAGAAGATTTTTTGAACTTCAAGAGGAGATTTTTTTTCACATTTAAATATATCTGTGTCAAGCAGGTATTTATTTATAATTTTTATATTTAAACAGGTTTATAGATTACAATTATTGGTAATTTATTCAAAATGTTATAGGGAATCCAGATTTTAGAAAATAAAAGCAGTTAAAAGGTATGTAGTTCCGAAAACCTGTTACCCAGAATGTCGGTAACAAAGTTAATGTAGGTATTTATTTGTTTTAATGAATTCCTCATAGACTTATAAGGTCGTAAGGCTGGCCAGATTTTTCGTTTATATGATGTAAAAATTTGTTACAAGTTTTGGGTTTAATCGCATATAAACATTTATTTAAATGAAACACAAACATAAGTGGATTTTAAGTAGAATTTATTTTTTTTACAATAACAAGTATGTAGTTCTCTAGCTCTATTCACTTATGAATGAATGGGACTAACCACGATGATGTTTGTGAATGGTTGTAATGGTTCGTTGCCTCTCACGATTTAAACTCACTATTTTTTTTTGTAGATTTAATAGTATGAAGAGTAAAACAAACCCTTCTCCAATTTATATAAAATACAAACTATTAGAAAGGATGACAGGTAGTTTTAAATAAATAGGTCATAAGTTAAGAACATCATGTTGAATATTTTAGTATATACACATACCTATGTGGTTTTTCGAGCCTTTGGGATCTGGATTATGTTAAGAGATACAAGGTCGGTCAAATTAAGGTAAATTTAATGACGAATAACTTGCTGAAAAGAAATTTGATGTCGTTTTGAAGTTATCGACAGTTTTATTCTTTTAATCGAAAACGGAAAGTATAATAATAATTATTTTGTACCGTTTAATATTATTAATTATTTTTTTACCCAACTTTTCATCCAAATTGTTGGAAGTGCTCTTATATAGGTAAAAGTAAGCTTGAATTGATATTCGACTGTTCCAAAACACTTTCTTTTAGTGACCCAAAGCAATCTACATCGGTCTATTTTTATGTAAGTAATCTGTACATAAACTGAATACACTTTATGGTATATAATACAGAAATAATAAAAGAAAGATGGATTTCACAGTGTCTAACGACACTTACAGTGTCTAACGACACTTACAGTGTACGATAATAATTCAATAAACAAAAAAATCTGAACAAAAAATTTAGATAAATTTGGAACGAATACACTGAAGATGAATTTTTCGAGACAAAATGTCTGAATTTGGTTCGAGCTGAGGCAGCACAGTATTGGGGGGTCATGAGGGCTTACAAAAAATGTAATAAAATTTCAAGGGTCGTATTTAAAAAAAATTAAGTTGATGATGGTCCTGGAGAGACGAAACGTTACATATAAAAATTGATTATGCCATTCGATAGAGGGCAAAAAGTGGCCATAAGAAAGTGTTCTTCTTTTTTCAATATCACGTCAAACAAAGCTGAAATGAAACAAAAACGGATTTCCAAAATTTCGGTTTTTTTCAAATATTTCGAAAACTAATCATGTTAGCCTTGATTTTTTAGAGGCATAATGTTGGTCTCCTGATTACGCAACTTTGCTCCCATTTAAGCTTCTTCGTACCTCTTACCGTTTCCGAGATCACTGTAGTGAGAAGCGAATTTGTAACAGCCTGTTATTATAATTTTTTACCTTTAGCAGAAAACTTTTTTAGGGACGCCTATGGAACTCATTAAATTTTATTGTTAGGCGTTTGTATACTTGTTCAACAGACTTAGGAAAAGACTATATTGAGAAATTATTATAATTATTAGAAAAGCATTAAATAATTGATAAAAGATAGAGGAAATTATGAAACGATCAGCGGAATTACATTATGTTCGAGTGAAGTGCAATATACAAATCAGGTTTTATATTATTAATGCACAAACTTATTTCCATAGCTTACATAGTGTAATTCAAACCAGGATGTATTACTATAATGAACCTTTATAAAACATACCTAATTATCTTATATAAAATGACAACCTATTAATTTATTGTAGTTGGAGAAGTAGGGACCTCCGGCATCATTTATTATGATTATGATTAATAGGTATACAAATTTTGCTTGTTTAATGGTTTAAGTTAGATAAAAAATACCATTGCTTCAGTAGCTGATTAGATATATGCCATTAAATAAATAATTATTTTCATTTTATTATTGAAGAAAGAAATATAATCAATCAAAAGCCAGTCGATATTTTGAACAATTATGTTTGCTTCTATTCATTTGGCACTCAACAATTTAGTGAATGACTATGACTAGAAAATGTGCTATTAAACAATTCAAATAAATATTTATCATCATCATTAATAATAAACACATTACCGCATAGCTTTTTACAAATAAGCATGGCAGTTACTAAAAATTGCTTTCAGAAATATGAATCTGTAAAATGTTTAAAAAATAGTGCAACAAACCTCTGTATTACCTTAAAGAATCCTTAACCACTGTTTAAAATTAAAACGTCGCGAATACATGTTCATATGAACTTTTTAATATTTTTTAAATCTTTAGTTGTAATATTTTATCGTTGGAACATTGCAACGTCCTGTGTACCAGGTGTCTAATAAAAAACATCACGAAGGGATAAAACATTTTTTACCTGTTTAACAAAGGTTTATTTTTTAAATCCGGCTATGTATGATTTCAATAACCAAAATATTACCGAATACTTATTTATAATTTGATTATTCCAACCTTGTCGTATGCACTATGAAAGGAAAGACAGTAAAAAAAAACACAAACTTTATAAATGTTAAGCTAATTATTACTCTGTTCTTTATTGAAAGGCAGCAACAACCGCTTGTCACTAAAGGTATATGTTAAAAAAATTAGTTTGTTTCAGTAATATTTTCACGACAATTATCGCTAATCAATTGTTTTTTAAAGTCGATTAAAAATATGTCGTAGTTTGCAACGTTTGTTACCAGATACTCGGTAACAAAGGTTTGTTATTATCATTATTAGTAATTTTTTAACTTAAAACCGCTAGTTCAAATTCTAAAAAGCAGTGGGTACCTTGTATTAATTATACTTAGATATTATATTAAGGTCACCGGGTCGCAGTTGTTGACGCAAGTTGAAAAACCATCACTCACATATTTGCTAATATGTGATGTCTTTGTGATAATATATTGTGGCCAATTAATACATATGTAGAACAGCGCATTGAAAATATTTGCTGTAAAAAAAAAAACTAATAACTTAACATCTGTGTGTCAATTAATAGTTAGAAGGGATCAATATTTTAATCAGAGTACGTTAACAATGTGTATATTGTTGCAAAATGTTTTTCAAAAAATCATGGTTTCATACTTATTTTATAAAGCTGTAGGTGTTGTGGTTTCTGCTGGTCGGATTTTCACAATTATACTGTTGCAATTAGCGTATTCTTATTTCCTAATTTTTTGCAACACTGCAGAAAATAGTTTAGTCAAATTAGCGGGTTCGTAATTTGATCATTATTTGAACTACGTAGATAAAAATAACTATATGTACACGGTGTCTCAAACTCGATACTACTGTGAGGATACAAAAAATTTAAATAAAATTTGAAACACGTGACACGTGGTGTTAAATGGGATGAAGTAAGCTCCATTTTCAATAGGATTATCTTTGGGATTTCACAGAAACGACTAATGACGCCGTCAATTATATTTTTTCCAGAAACATACCTAAATGTTTTTCCTGTTAACAAGCTCTTTATTAGAGAATTTTTTTGTAATACTTCCGGTTTAAAAGTTATAAGCAATATCGTCCTAAAGAGTGTCAAAAGAAATACCACCTACAAACCACATTAGCGATAGAAGGATCAAGTAGTCGTTGGAAAATAATTGAATGTTCGTTGTTTAAAGTGCATAAATGTCATTAAGAATAAACGAAAGGATTAAACTCGATAATTCTTTAATACAGTTAAAACAAAAGGTAACTAAACTTAAAAAATGAGGCAAACGCTTTCATACTAGATACATATTATAATCTATTCTCTATATGACCTCCTCTCATTTCAAGACACATATCCAGTCTTCGCCTGACTTCTTTGTGGATTGCGTTTATTAACATTTCGCCGTTGAATTTATTACAAGCGTTTGTGATTTCTTCTTTCAAATGATTAGTATCTCGCGACACAAAAAAATCGAAGGGTGTTAGATCTGTTGACTTTCTGGACCACTGAATAGGTCCATTAACCCAATCATAGGTTTCTCCTTAGCTGCAAAGACACATTCTCCAGAATTGCAGGAAGTTCTTGTAGGAAATTTAGATAACTCACGCTATTCAATGTATGTTCATAAAAATAAGGTCCAATTACCTAAATGCCTACCAATGTGGGGATTTTCAATGGACCAGTCGTGTTCGTTGCTCTTGTTTGGCAAACCGTTACTGACAAACCGACTTTCGTCCCTCCAAAGAAAGTGCCGAAAAAGGTTCTGATCAACAGTTTCTACATTTACTACAATTTGAGCTATAAAATTAAGTCTGTTTTCAATGTGACGCTCAGGCAAATACTCCAAATTGTGAATTTTGTAGTCATGATACCCACTGGGTAAGACCATTGGTCTTTAAAATTCGTTGAACGGCTGATTTATCCAAATTCAATTTCCGGCTAGCCTGCCGTATAGAATTTCGTGAATTTTGCGAAATGTTGTACCTAACAGCCTAACTGTATTAACATTGTTTCTTACCTTTCGGTCAATTAGTTCTGACATTGCCAGTTTATAATATGTTCATATTTTGTAAATACTTAATTCAAACTTATACTATGATTAATATATTTTTTACAGATTTCTTCGTCTCTCTGATCTGCCCAAAATGTCTATAAGTGGTTATACGTGTATACGATTCGTCTTTTGTTGGGTTAACGTATTATTTTGGGTAAGTGTGCTTCAATTTTCTCTCTTTGTTAGAATCAAAATTACCTTTTACTAAATTAATAGTTCACGTATCTATTTGATTAAGACTATCGTCGAAACACCCTATACTTTGACAGTAATGTATGTAAAATAAAGTAGGTCATGCTATTTAAAAAGGGATTTTATTTCTCCCTTGTTTTTGAATTCTCCTTTTTTGTAATACCTTGTACAATTATTTCTGTGTAATTGTATCAATAGCTTTAATTTTTGTCATAAAATCTAAGTAGTTCAAGAAACATTTGATTCTTTTATTTACGATTAACGAGAATACAGTTATAAATACCAATATAACTTACTTAGTTCTATTTTAAAACTGTAATATAGCATTGAAATGTATGCTTTAACAGCTGTTTTAAAAAACAGTACATTTGGATTTCCTGTAAAATTATATAAATTTTACTAAGACCGGTTTGTCTAATAATGCTGTAGATATTTATTTAAACCAAATTGATTTAACCATGGCAAGATACAATTTTCTTGTATAATTTTGTGGGACTGCTTTTTCAGTTTCTTGTAACTGCTACGAATTAATGAGGACGTTTCGATTTTTTTCACGTAACAGTAAATAAAATAGCAATAAATGCAACGAAGCTAGCACGGATTTGTCAATTGTAATAATTTCCCAGTATTGTAATAGTGTGGTTCCGTAATGTTCTCCATATAACCAGTTTCTAATTTCTATTCTCACGTATTGCACAACGAATTGCAGAGAGTCACGATAATTGAAAACAGAGGTATATTCTTCTCATTATCTCATTCAATAGAATTCTTTAGTCGTCCATGTAAATGAGCCTCAGAAATAATTATGACGGTGTTTGATTTTCTTACGACGTAAAAAATGAAACTAGAAATGTAAACGTGAACATACAGGGTGTCTGGAGGCGAATGGGCTACAACGGTAGTAAAAATAAACAAATTCAGATCAAGTTAGCTTAGTACAATTTTGCTTCCTAAAGAAGTCTTCGAAGAAATTTTTATTCCATTTTAATATATATTTTATTAAATTTTAAAGAGGATTTTTTAGGTTAGGTAAATATAAGTCATTAAGAAGAAGAAAGATGCAAATCTTTCATGTGAATACGCTGTAGAGAGGCCAATGGCGAAATGGCCAATTTTTGAGCATTGTGCCGAATTAATATCCCTGGACTCTCAGCAACACTCTCACGGCCAGAGTGTTTAAGATCACTAACTGATCCAATCTCCCTGAATTTTCAATTAATCTCTTCACAATTGATGAAGTTAAATCACTATTCCGGATCATATTTTGAACGAAAATTGGTAACGTAGCTGCCAAATGTTCATTATTTTAAAAATATTACCCAGCAATAGAAACATTCTTTCGTGTGGCGCTCCATTTTTAATAATCCTGAACTGTCACGCTGTCCTTTTTTCGTTGACAACACTTTACCGCACAAATGGCGCGAAATTCAAATCTTGCGCGAATTTGGGACACCCGATATATACCACAGAAAATAGAGTATTGCTGTTCTAACCATATGATTACATTTAACAGTTTTCCATTGAGCATATTCACATATTACTAAGAATGTAAATAATTATTCAAAAAATAAGCTCTTCTGCATTCGAAAGGGCTCAAGACAATTTTATTCAGTTTTTACTTTAAATTTATGTATAAAAATCGTAATTACTATTTTTCTCTTATTCCAATTTCTCACCTAATTTTTAGTTAGGAAAAGTAATAATACTCACTGAACCGTATATTTTTTATTGTATAATCATACAGATATGCATGCTTTACATTTTACAATAGCGTTACCGATATAATTATATGGCAATTACACATTTTTCACCAGAAATATTCATGCCTGATGCTGAAAATGTTAGGAATGTTTCCTTCCAAGTAAAAAAAAATTGTTTAATACCTCATATTTACTGTTTTTAGAATTTGTTCAAATATGTAATGATCATATTTTTATCCAAACGATATCGATCGAAAAAAAATCAAGTAAGTAGGTACAAGTTAAAACTGAATTATGAAAAAATGTTTTTTTATTGTTAGTGATGCAAAAAAATTACTTTTCATTGTAAATGTACGGTTAATAAACAACAAATTATGACATATCCAGAGTAGCAAAATGTATAAATGCTGTTCAGTTAAATTTACGTATCAAATAAATAATGTTTGTTAAATACGATTAATTATAGTTCTATTTCGTGTAATAAAATGTAGCGCGGTCTAATTGATTTTACCAACTAAAAGAAAAACTATTATTTAATTATTTTGTTAAGTAAGTACCTACTAGGAGAAAATAATAGAAGTGTTTATGCAACTAAAGTCATTCACCTATTTGAAATTTTCAAAAAGATGCTTATATTTTGGAGAAACCTGTACACAATTAATAGTTTTCTTCGCTTTGAATTCAGATTATGGTAATAACGTCTGTTTTTCTGAAATATCTGCAATTATTAAATTTATTGGTGTATTTTATAACCTATTGTAAAATTGTGATTAGGTACGTTTTCAAGAAACGAATTTCATTTTGTCGAATGCAATTTTCTTGCTCATTTAATAATTGTGTAATTTGTTAACACTTTATCCACTTTCTACCTAGGCGTTCTATTTCATAGCTCTTGTTTGAGTTGACCTCAACAGTGACCTTATGTTAACAATTATACAGTAGTAGATGTTAAATGTAATAATTCGCAATTATTTTTATGAGGTTAACTCATATCTTAATAGTAGAGCGGTTTATAATTCCCGAATTTTATTGTTTGTTAATAATTCTTGCAAATACTTATACATTTCCTTACAATAAGAATTTATTTTGGTCCCAGCATTTTAATGAAATACTTTAATATAAATATGATTGATTACAAACATAGGCACTAGAAAGTATATAGGTATACATATTTTCTAGAAAAAAAATATTAGATACATACTTGAATATAGGTCCCATTTTCTTTTGTTTCAAAGTTGTAACAATTTTAAATTGGCGATTGAAACTGTAATAACAATAACCTTAAATATTACAGTGATAAATATTCAAATTTAGCCTCCTAGCCTGGATACATAATTCATAATGACGAATTAACAACAGACTGAAATGGGAGATAGTAAATGCCATTTTAAATAAAATGGACATGAACCCGAAAATGTTAAGTAAACAGGTTACAATACAAGGGTGATAAAGGTACTAAAAAACCCATGTTTTTAAATAACTTCGAAATAGTCAATTGTGATAGTCATATCGGGTAATATTTTTTGTTTTTTTTTTGTTGTTTTTTTATTTTCAAAAAATTTTTTGTGACATTTGCGGTAAAATAATCTAAATTTATGTCAATAAGATCAGCCGCAGATCGTTTTGGCACAAAGGATTTTCTATTTTAAACATCATTTTTCTTTTCAGATCGGCAGAAGTATCTAGTCAAAAATATAAATATATTAAAAAGGTTCTGCTTTTCTAAATGTTTATAATTCCATCTTTACAGATATCAGGATGCGGTCTTCTGGGAGTTGGAATTTGGTTAAGGATAGCATACGAAGGATACGCATCCTTAATGCCACAGTACGCGCTTTTGAGTGCTGACTCCTTAGCTATTGCATTTGGGACCATAACGTTCATATTTTCGTTTTTTGCTTGCTGTGGATCGTGGTTCCAGAACAAGTGCATGTTAGTAACTGTAAGTAGATCCCCAAAAATAGGTTTATACCATCTCGTTTGTACTTTTCTCTAAATATCTGTTGAGTCAATTAAAAATCTATTTATACAGTGTGGAATAAAATGAAATGTTTTATTTTTGAACTACAGGTTTTTAAAATAAAAGAGAAAATGACAATAATTTTTTTAAATTGTAAATTATGTAAATGCCATGTATAATGTATTTCAAATTGGGCTCACTATTATGATGGTTAGTATTTTCAAAAAACTATTCCAGCTGCCAATTCTTAAGATACGATTATTATTTATCAGTTTTACTTTGAAAATTTCTTGTTTGTTAGTAATTTACACGAAATTTGTGGGTCTCTTTGTTAATATAAAAAATACATAATGCTTTTTTCATATTTTGAAATAGTATGTGACTTATGAATTAATCTTTCTGTTTTCAGTATTTTGTCCTGGTTGTATTTATTTTCGTAGCTGAGTTTTTGGTAGGAGCTCTAGCGTTCATATACAGAGAAAGTTTGAAGCACACGTTAAGGGAAGAACTTAGGGACGGGCTTCTACACCATTACAATATGACTTCTGACGGTCCTAGCAGTTTGGTCCATATTTGGGACAATATTCAGACCCAGGTAAAAATATTCATAAATTCACATTTTTATTATCACCTAATTTGTTCAAGAAATGTTATCCAAAATTATAACACGAATTGAACCAAATGTATTAGGTTGTAGATTGTGTAGATAAGGGAAAACTATCAGGTAATTACTAATATAATGAATTGTCACGGAGCATGCCTCTATATCAGATGAATATGAAAAGAGTTAAAATACTTATAAATAAATATTTTAATAAAATGTAGAAAACAACTATGAATTTTAAAATGCGCTTATCGATTTTTTCGTTCATACTTATTTTGCTAACTTATCACAAAATGGATAGGAAAATGTGTACTACATATTACAAAATGTGAAATAATAATAAATATTGATAATGTTTACTATAACTTTCTCAAATTCACTTACGTACAAGATGTGATCGGTCCTTAAACACGTTTAGATAATAAAAGGGATTATTTTAAATTTATTAAGGATTTTAGAAATACCATTTCTTCTCAATTTCCGCTAATATTTACCCCAGAACCTTATTCTTCAGTTCGGCTGTTGTGGTATAGAAAATTATGAGGACTGGTACATGATAGATGCCTGGCCTGACGAAAAATGGGTGCCAGACTCTTGCTGTCTACCAGCGAGTTACGATTTGAATTGTGGCAGGATCAAGGACTCTGGACTGTACGTTCATGGGTGCTTCACTCAGATCTACAGCTGGTTCCTCCAAAGGCTGGATATCATCGGAGTTGTTGGGCTGATGGTGGCATTTATCCAGGTAAGTACATAAAACCGTTTTACTAATTTGATGTTTCGATCAACCAAACTCCAAATCAGGGAATCAGTAGGGTAGAATTGAATTCGGAGAGGGTAGTTTCACATTCCCAGACTAATAGATGACAAAAGGTTGATTATTTTCCTGTTATTTGGTGAAAAAAAATTGTAACTTTGTCACAAGTCTATGTTTAAGTATTCTTTCAGACTGCAAAGGAAGTTCTCATTTAGGGAAAGTTGAGACATAAGTACTGTTTTTGCAAGATTAATACGTCTCAAAACACACTTAATGGAAGCAACGTCATACTTGTGTAGGTATCTGTAAATTGTATTTGATGTAAATTATTTGCTTCTGGTATTTGCATATACATAATTAAATGTTACGAATTCGCTATATGTGATCTTGCCTCCCCATATCATGTATCAAGCATTCTTATCTATAAAAGGTTTGCTAGGTGCACAGAAAAAACGTTATGAGACATAGAAAATTATTTAATCTGCAGGTTTTCATAATATTTTTGGTGTAACATATACCTTCGTATTAAATTATATACACATGCATATTTGTTTTTTTATTATAAAAATCTAGCAGTCCTTCCAGTCTACCTTAATTACAATGGTTTATTTGCTAGTAGCTAGTAGCTAAAGTTTAAATAAAAAGAATGAAAGAATGTGATTTTACTGTAAAATTACACTAGCGTACACTATCATTAGCGTATTTTATCTTGTTTTGTTTAATCTTGGCATTTTCTAGTTGTAGTAAGTATTTTTATTGTTTTTCTTGATATAATTTTAAGTTACTAATTACTTTAAAAGTCAATATTGTTCTATAAATTTAAAAATATAAATTCTATAATTCTATTAGTTTATCACTTGGGGTCTTAAAGTTCTTAAATATTTCTAATATTGCCAGAATATCGCGATATTTAAGATCATGACAAAAAAGATATTTTTTTGGCACTTATGTATGTCTAAAGTACATAAGGTCGAAAATCGATCTAGTAAAAGTACTGAGAAATTCTTCATGACAATGTGCACTATCAGGAATTGTCTATTATTTGGCGTATGTGACGTCACTACTAAAAAGGTCTATTGAGAGCATAATTATCCACAGTGAAATTTAATAATTTGAATTTGCACACTGAAAAGATACTCATAATATTCCCTCATTTGTTTCTATTGTAATGTTTTTCTTTATGTTTGTTGCTGTTGTTTTTTTTTGGTCTATATTGCCTTGAATATAATTTTATCTAAACGGAAGCCAGGAACTCGTCCAGTTTAAGTTATAATCTCATTAAGTTTCTGCTGTTTGTTTATTTTTTATTAGTTATTTCTCAGTACAAAAGTATTGTAAAAAAATTGTAAACATGTAACATTCAAAGAAAAAATATATAACAAATAACATCCTTGAAAAAGATTTTTCATGACGATTGGACCTCAATGGCCCACAATTTTAAAAAAAATAAACGTGATGATTACTACATGACAAAACGTTGCTCAGAAAGGGAGAAAATTGAATTGTTTTGAAAAATGTATTTCTATTTTTGTGTATATCTCTCCAGATAAACCCGGAAAGCATTAAAAATAAAACTTTAAATTTACACATATTTTAAAATATCTCAAAAACTAATAAATCTCTCTACTTTCGTACTTTTCTGTATAGCAGTATCGCAACCAATCCGAAATGCTGTTCAAGTATAAAAAAATATTTATTTTTGTTAGTTTCTGCCGTCAGCAGGTTGCAAAGTGTTTATAATTCTGGGAATATAGTTTGATAGAGAATTTTGTGAATATATTTGCTTGATATTTGTCGTTTTTACTAATTTTTATAATTTATATTTTTTTATTTACTTTCTATCTTTGTAATTTTTTTAGTTGTATGGTCTAATCTCCTCCATGCTGTTATTCTGCACGGTGAAGCACAAAAGGACATCGAGGACGTACAAATCCTATTCATAATACTAAGTACATATTAATTAAAACATTATTTCGAAATAGTGTTTTTGATAACATGTCTGTTTATTTGTGTATCACGTCATTGATGACCTGTGACCTGCAAGGCTGATTCTGTCATTTTCGTACATGTGTTGTTATACAAATAAAGAAAAATAATTTATATTTAATTATGAAAATAATATTAGATATATGTACTGTTTGTTGCAAACATTTGATGTTAATTCCTTCTAGCTTTAATATAGGTAGGTATTTAATATTTTATATTGTCTTGTTGTCCATGTTTATAAATGTATTGTACATAATGTTTTATCTAATAGAAAATTTATATGTAAATGTTAATAAACAATAAGTTATTTGGTATATATTTGTCTTGTCTATTTTTGCTCTTTGTCCCTTCTTAAATGAGTTCATGCTGGATAACGAGTAAGTACCTAATGAAGTAATTTCTATAAAAAATTAATAATTCATAGCTAATATATATTTATTGGTTCTATTTCAGATGGCTAGTACTAACAAAAAATCTGTAAGAAATGAAAAATGCTCGAATACTATTTTTGTGAAAAACGTCATATCGTCGCATATAATTATTATATAAAAATTTTAACCGATATAATGTACAAATTATACGTTGCTAAAATAAGAGGTTCTGTAAATTTGTATTATACATAAAATCGTTATTTTTTGTGCATTGACTGTTGTATCGCATAAAATTAGTACAAAGTGAGAAATAATTTTCTTTTGCGAGTACTGATTACGGTGAATAAATTACATATACAAAGTCTAACAAAAATCAACCAAAAGGCAAATGCTACGGAAAAATGACACCACATTAATTTTTAAAGGCAAAGCCGTAGAAATTAAAATTTTCTCGAAACTTTATTGCACTCTGGCTCCTCAAAAAAATTCCAGAAATACTCTAGAAGTTTGTTGGTACATTTGTATTTACTCTACATATCAGAAATATTTAAAAATATATTTTATACTTGTTTTTTCGTAAAACCTTCTAAATCTTCATTTTCATAAATACTTTCCTGTTCCCGTTATGAAATCTATAAAAATATCTAACAAGAAACGGAAACAATGAAATGCCTATTCTAAAAAAGGTGAAACTTAATAATATATATTTTAATTAGATTCAAGACACAAGGAAAATTATGTTTCATGTAAAATCAATGGCAATTTTTGTTAGGCAGCTTTATGTCATCAAATTAAAGAAAATCAAATCAAAAAAACATAGAATGAGTAACCTAGGTGCCTTAGTAATTTTCTTGGTACTGTAACATTATTTCGAGCGTAGACTCAACGGTTTGCCATTGTTCATTGTAAACGAATCATTAATATTGATACTGTTAAGATTTAAGGATTTTAGTTGACAATTTTGTTTGTATCGATTTAAGAAGGCACTGTACCAGGGGTGCATATCTACAAGGAACAGAGTTAAGGGTATAGACTGACTCCCACTATTTCTATTGACTAATTTCAGCTACTTTTTAGATTTTCTTGATTTCTAACAACGTCACTTAGACGTAATGTAAATTGGAATTAAATATTTTTGGCTATCTGTATATATTTCCTTGAAACTATAAAAATTGGTACATACATTTTTCATACTCTACAAATGTAGAATTTTCATGCAAGCAACTGTAATTTAAAAACACTAAATTATTCAAAAAATCAAAACCGTTTTTAAATAGATTCGACGAGTATATCATTGCATTCGTATAAGTAACTGATAGCTATGGAGTACGATTCAAACTTCTTAAAATTAGTAAAAAAGGTTTTGATAGTCATCGGCATATGGCCCATGAACCTATCTATTTATGCCAATTTGGCCTATCGCATATATCACGGTATGGTCTTGACGTATTTTACGATATTCGTAGTAACTTTGGCCATAGCCACTAAGGATATTTTACATGTGAATCCTGAAAAGCAAGCTTATGTGATACAGTATGGCTTTAGTTACGCACTTTTTCTTTGGAAGGTCATATTATGCCAAAAGGAGTCTATTAGGAAACTAATGAAAATAATATCAACGAAAGAGAGGCTCATAACCAACAGCAATGACAATGATATCAAAAATATATACAGGATCTGTTTGCAACATAACACCACAGTTTTCTACATAGCGCTTTTAGTTATTGTAGCTGTTGTGGTTCTATTTGCTGTAACGATATATTTTGAGGTTAAAAGCTGGCCAGCTCCTGAAGGAATATCTAATTGCAGTGTATCTGCTAGAGAACTACCTCTGCCACAAGCGGTTCCTTTTGGAATTGACAAATATTTCAAACTGGTTTATATTTTTCAAGTTTCGTCGCGCGTATTTGCTGCTTTCATCTTTCTCGGATGCGATACTCTGTTAAATTATCTGATATATTTTCCAGCGGCATATATAAAAGTATTGGGACATAAATTCGAACACATTGGAGATCAAAATGGTAATAGATTATACAGTTCTGAAGCATTCCTCAAAAAGCTAATTTTAGAGCACAAGGAAATGATTGAGTAAGTATCAGTTACTGAAAATATTTGTAGAGTAGCGTTTTGATTTTCAATCAAGTCAACATTAATAACTATACAGGGTGTTTTTAGATGAAGTAGCAAACATGGTACCAGTGAATGTAGAGCCAAAAATAAAAGGATTAAAGTAAAAATACCTTATATGAAAGTGGTACCCCTTAGGCGATATATCCTCTTAAAGGAGGGGATTGAAATTCACATTTTAATTTTTTTCTTTAACATGAGGAATGCTAGAGACACGAAAATCGAAACTTGGTATGAGCATCCTACTAATGAAGAGACAACTGTTGTTTGATCATTGGCGTATTTTATAAAGGAGTAAAACCGTCAACTCCATTGCAATATTTTATTAGAATTTTTTTATATGAAGCAAATTATTTATTTAAAAATATTTATTGGACAGACTGATTTATTGCGCAACTTCTTTACCTCTTGTAATTTTTCGTTAAAACCGATAGTTTTCTAGTAAAAAAATTTGATGTATCATCGTTGACTAAAGGGGTAATTGCGAAAATTTGTAAAAATAAAGTAGGCGGATGTCAACAAATAAATTGTTATTTATCATATTAATAAATTGACATTTTCTGTCAATCAATAATTGGTACTTACCAATTGATTAATTTATTATCAGAATAATTATGGCAAATAATATTTATGCCAACGACTTATGTCGACATGCTCCAAGTGTTTTTCGAATCCAGAAAAAATAGTAACGCTGTAGTAAGATTATACCATCAAAGATATCCAAACCGACCGATTCCTCATAGACAAACATTAGCCTCAGTCTTCCCAATAAATATTTTTAAATAAATAATTTGCGTCATATAAAAAAATTTGTCTGTTTCACTCCTTTATAAAATACGCCAATGATCGAACAAATATTGGAATGTTGTGTCTTTATTAGTTAGCTCATACCAAGTTTCCTATCTCTAGCATTCCTCATGTTAAAGTAAAAAATTAAAATGTGAATTTCAATCCTCTCCTTTAAGAGGGTATATCGCCTCAGGGTTTCATATAAGGTATTTTTACTTCAATCCTTTTATTTTTGGCTCTACATTCACTGGTACCATTTTTGCTACTTCATTTAAAAACACCCTGTACATATATTTACATTATGACTTATAGAATAAGAAATATATTTTCTTTTTTCCCTTAAACTATTGTTGATTTAATACTAATTGCTATGTACCTATTATATTTTTAGGTATGTAATTCATTTAAATGATATCTTGCAGTGGCTTCTTTCTATGGATTTTTTCATACTGTCTTACCATATATCCCTAACACTTATGGGAATAATGTCGGTAAGTTACAAAATACTCACATTCTGTATGACAGTGTGACAGTCTAAGCAATTTCAGTATGACCACTTAAAAATATCCTAAAAATTACTTACAACCCGCTAAATATGGAAGCTAAAAATCATTGAAATATGTTCTCGATATATTAGCTCTAACCGTTTTAATTACTAAAACAATATTGAAAATCTATTTTAAGAAAATGCAGAAAGAGTAGGTACCTAATAAAAATTAAATTGTCAATTTTTGTATTTCATTCATACATAACATAATTATTCAATATGCTATTTCGCAGAAATAGTAGAAAAAATTAGAGAATTACCTTTTCTGAGTTGCCAGAAAAATATTTTTCCAATTTTTATTTTAAGTGTAAATAAATTAATTTTCACAAATGGTTTGAAAGTCATAGTTAGAACAATAACAAATCTTAGTGAAAATTCGTGGTTGTCCTGTATATTTCGCCCTATTTTTTTTGTCCCTACTCGCTTAAGTTGTCTTAAATGTAATAGACTTGGACCCTTTTGAACTAAAATAAAATGTTAATTAACCAAAGGTATATAGCAACTGATTTTCGGGAGACAAAGTACTTTGACTTAGATCGATAAAAGTTCACTGAATTGGTGTACAAAACTGTTAACCAACGGACCAATATACTGGAGGCACTGTTACTAAGAACCCCATAATTGCTACGTCACTATAATTGCAATTAATTCCTAATGTTTATTTGTACCAATGTATTTATTTATTTATTTAATTAATTATTTGGAAACTTCTTATTGCAGCTGTTAGAAAGCCCAGTATTTAATATGGATTTCATGATTACCCTTTTCTTCAGTGTGTCATATCTCATGGGGGTATTTTTTCAAATGTGCTTGTTATATTACAACTGCAATGAATTGATTGTTGAGGCAAGTTTATCAATTATAGTAATATATAGTGTTACAACAAAATCTTTTATATATAATAGTTTATTTTCTAACCAATTTATTGTATATCTACATTTATAGTCCCTGGAAATACCGAATAGTATCTTTCGCAGTAACTGGTACGAACTACCTCAAGCAGTTCAACGAAGTCTCTTAATTGTCATAATGAGAACCCAAAAACCTCTGGAAATGAAAATCGGTAAATTATATGCTATGAGCAATGACCTCATAGTAGGAGTGAGTACAATTTTTTCTTTTCTCTTGATATTTAATTTTTCAGAAATAAACATAGTCAACTAATTAGTTCTTTATAATAAAGACACTTTATTAACATTAAATATTGGAAAAAGATTGTTTTTATGTGTTTTTTAAGTAATATAGTGTATTATTGAGTTTTAAGGATAAAATGAACTATGTATTATATTTCCAATAAATTCTTTGTAGAGGACCCTCTTAAAACAACATTTTTCTACATTTGAACAAAATAATTTTTTTAAAATAATGAATTTTTTCATATAATAAGAAACAAAAAAGTTTCCCCTATTTTCAACTCTATCCGTAAACATACTGTATACACATTATTTTTTCTTTTCAGTTTGTGAAAGCAGGATTTACTTACGTATTGTTATCACATCTTGATTTCCAACAAGCCTGAATCGTAGGATTTTTAGTTTAATTTAAAAAATATGTAAAAATATTCACAGCAAATAGAAAATACATTTATTACACTTATGCATTAACACAATAAAAGCAAATAAAAAACAAATCCCGATAAAATCATTTCATTTAATACACCTTTTATTTAGATATACATATTTACAAAAATATACAAAAATTATAAAACTAAAATAACATCTTACAAGTACATTATAGGAAATAACAGATTATGTCAAAATCAATAAGACATTTAACAACAATTAATACTAACAATAAAAAATAGGATTTCCAAGAAATTTATTGCGATAATCCCACTAATTTTCCTCCCACTGTATTAAAGGAAGTCGTTACTGTTTGACCAACATGTTTCAAAGCCGTGAATGGCAGCTAAAATCATAAAGTAAAAATTATATGTGCAAAGATATAAGGGTGTTTTTTAAATATATGCAGAAAATCCATAGACAAAATGTGTTAAATTTAAATAAATTTAAAATAATTAATTGTTAGGGACAAAATGTTAACTCAACATCAAAAGCAACAAGTTTTGTCTAATATTTATTTTAATCCCTCTTATTTTTTTAGATAATAAAATTTTTAATTTTTGTACAAAATAAGTAAACATCGTTTCTAACCTCATCAAATGAAGATGCAAAATTAGTTAAATTAATTATTCAACCAACGGAAGAGCACTATTGATTAAATATATTATCCTGAACCAAAATCTATCGAATTGTCCCATATACTTGATATCTTATCAGAACATTTTAATGAAACATATATTATATTTTAATAGAACGAATAACTTTATATAGAAATAATATAAATATGGTATTTTTTTTAATTTACCTCTGCGGCAGTATTCAATACATTTGACAGTCCTTCTATGCCCCCAACTACTTTATTTGCTATTTTCCTAAAGTGTTCCCCATCATTGCCATATTTCTCATGCTCCTGAATAGTGTCTACTAAAGGTTTGGGATTTACAATATCTGCAACGAAAGCTTGCAAATTACCATATTTATCATCCACTTTTATAGGTAAAGATTCAAGGGATTTCCGTTCCAGAATGGCCATTTTCCTTCCAGAATCTGGAAAGGGAGTTACAACAGAGAATGCCTAGAACAGAACACCATTTTAAATACAATTTAATTTTAGTATTAAATTTGTAACAGCCAAATAACAGATTTCATTATTCCTACAAATAAAATGACTTACTTTTGATTTAGCAAAAACAGATACAGCATTATCTACGGTTTCCCCTAAATTTTCCAATGGAGTTAAAACTACAGTGCTACGGAAAGATCCAGAAGATGATACACTGCCAATTGGTAAAGAGTAACTTTTTGTTAATGTCATTGATAGAAAGATCGCAAGAAATTTCATTGTAACTGGAAAAATATCAATATTAGTTTACCTGAAGGAGTCAGAGATTTGGAATAAAGTATTTACAAATATACATATCTTTTTATCATAGTTTTATTATTAGTGTAAAAAAATTGCAGTTTTAAAGTAAAATTTGACATTTGTTTCATATTTCAGCCCTCTTTTCATTATTTTTTTGTGTTTCTTAAAGGGTAATAAAATATAAGCCTAAAATATTGCCTTCATTTCGTTCACGTTCTGTGATTTTTACTAGACTAGAATTTGAGAACTGCCAACCAAACACAGCTTTTCGTCTAACCGGAAGTGACGTTGACTCGTATTTACTTGATAAGTTGCACTTATATTATTGTTTATTGTCTGAAACAATATTAAGTTGCGACATACCTTAAATAAGAAATTTAAATCTAACAATAGTATAACCCAAAAACTGGTGGATTATGAATTAAAATTAAATAATTGACGTCCTATTAGACGTTGCAATTGGGTGACAACTATGGTAGGTATATTTCAATTTGTCTCATTTTATGTATATTCCAAAATGGTATCTGGAATGGTAAAAATAATTAAGACATTTTGGTAGGAATCTCTTCTGTAACATTGGACATTATGAAAAATTGAAAAAAAAAACAATTATTATTAATTACTTTACACTTGTTTAGTATTAATAATTAGTTAGTAGTGTTAGTACCTACTTAATATACTTTTAAAACTGTTATACATAATTTAACTTTGAATAAAAGTGTACTACAAAAAAAATAGTGACCCAGTAGTAGATATTCAGGAACTTTATTTAATAGCTTCCTACATGTTTTTATTGATCGTTTTCATTTCGACCCAAATATCTATCAACGTAAGTAAAATGCAAACAATGCCGTGTATACAGGGTGTGGCGCATATAATCTATAAAAACTACAGCTTCCTAACGATATTTGTAATAGAAAAGTCTTATAAGTTCTATTTTTGCGTTTTTTTTTTCATAAATTAAAGTTCAATTATGGATCAAAATATTTTCTCTGGAACGGTCCTGTCCGTGTGTTGTACGATGAGTTACGTGCTATAGTCCAGCCGCGTAAATAAACATAATCAAGAAAGTCTACTTGATTGGCACATTGCCGTAAAAACTATCTGCAAAAATGCATTCGTTGATCACAATCCGGGGGTAAAATCTGTTGAATTGGTTGTAGATGATATAGGGGTATAACAGCTGGCGCCTTAAGATGCGATATACGGTACGAGATGAGGTTCCTACTTGCTGTGCGAGTCGTCGAGTACTAATTGTGGGGTCTTCGTCAAGATTTTCCAACACTGCATCTTCAACATTAAGGTTCGCTTACTGACCACGTTATTCTCCTCGAGGAATAACACTTCCCGTATCTCGCAGCCGCTGAACGCATTGTAGGATTGTATGTATGTGCACATGAGGGGTGACGTTGTGGCCATCGTTCCCGGTACAACCCAGCCGCAGCGAGCGCATTTTCTCCGGCTGCACCATACACTAACACCATATCGTCACGTTCGGAAATAGTAAATGCATTGTTTTCTCGGTTCATTGTAAAACTAGTTTATGTACAAACTAAAAAAATTAAGCAAAGTAAGAAATAAGAACCTCGTTTTTAATGTAACCGGCACGCTATTCTTATTTTTTACTTCTTTATAAAAATTACAGTGTCATTATCGTGGAATTATAAAATAAAAACTTTTGTCTGGAATCTTTCACTATTTAACACTGATGGGTCGATGGACGATACTTAATATTTAATAATTAAGTGAATAATGAATTCAATACAAATACAGAATCAGTTGATTGCACAAATTTTTTGACAATGTAACCTAACCATCTTTTAGTATTAGATTATACTGACCTAAATTATAAGGTTGCATCTCGGGTCGCATAAAAACATTTTCAAAGTTTTTAATAAATAACGCAGGGTCGGCCTTCATTTTCGTTGAATAAATGAACTTTAATTTACAAAAAAAAAAACGCGAAGATTGAACTTTTTCGTATAAGAGTTTTCTATTACAAATATCATCAGGAAGCTGTAGTTTAATTTTTACAGATTATACACGCCACACCCTGTATAATTAATAATCCATCGGAGGTAAATTAATGTAAGTGCCCCATTAAAAGACGGAAAACATCTACTTCGTTCAGTTACTGTTAATACGAATGTTTGAATGCAATGGCAGATAAGTTTACTTTGTACCCAACTTTCCAGAAAATGTCAAACTGGGGGGGAGTTAGTATATTTACTATATCTAGTACTGGAAAACTAAAAAAAATTCTGTCACTTCTTCTGACAGTTTTAACAGTGGTCCATCCGATAATAATAGCTCTATGGAAAATAAAGGCAAGTGAGCTGATTTTCAATTTGTATATATTATTCTTTGTAGTTCTAGTCATATCAAACCTATTTTGCAATATTTCCATAAACTTTTCACACCCTGAAAATGTGAAGAAACTTTTCAAATGTTTCACCGTTCTTGATTTTAATCTGAAAAGACTTTCCTGCGGAGATAATATCCTTAAGGAAGACATGCAATTCTACATATACTGGTTAATGTCTTCTTTTGCTTTGCTAGGGGCTGCAAGTTTAGATATAATTTATAGAACTTTGAAAAATAAATCAAGTATACTACAATTATTAGAACTGTTGGTTGTAAGTTTCACAGCTCACTGCCAAATATATTTATTGACGTTAACAGTTCTCCAGTTCGCTTGTATCGTTTTTGCTATAAGAACAGTTTTAAAATTACTTAACAGACATCTTCATCGAGTGTTTGCCAAATCTTGGAAAATGGAAGTACTGCATATTCATAGAAAAGAAAAACTAAAACGTATAATGAAATGCTACGACAAAGTCTTTGAGATCACGACCCTATGCAACACAATATTTGGGCTGCCCATTCTCGTAGTGTATCCTTATTTATTGACCTACTTTGTGAAAGTTGTTACAGTTACTATCAAAATGAAATTACTTGGGGAGGTTAGTTTCGGTTTTCTGGATATGCTACCACTTCTCTCGGATATTTTTGGAAGTTTATTGTGTCTGGTAAGTAGAATAACGTAAATATTTTGCATTGGAAATACTTAAATTTTTTCAAAATCAAAATCAAAAACGAGATGCAAAAGAACATAAATACAAAACAATAAAAAATATGTAAATAACATATACAATAAAATTTCTATTTCTTTATACAGACTATTGAAATTAAAAAAAGAAAAGCAGTGATACTTCAGGTGTACGCCAAGAAGGACTCGCAAATTTTATAATCAAAATCTAGAATAGTTTTGCGCGGATTATGTAGGTATCTATTAAAGTTTCGCAAGTTCTCTTAAAAAAAAACTAGAGCAAATATGAAGACCTACGCACCTTTTCGAGAGGGTATTTCCATTTTAAAGGATATTTTTAGATAAAAAAAATAAACTCTACAACAGAAAGCAAGAGAATCTCAATAATAGAAATATTTGTTTTCTTGGATTTTAGTTTTCTCCGTTTTGACTTATATCGTTGTGTTTATATATTTACATAAAATAAAACTTTTTCGAAATTTTTAATATATTTTGTTACATAGGCCTTATTACTCTTCCTTGCCTTATTCCACAACTTAATAACTTCTTTTTGTTTTAGACAATAGCAGTTCTGATAACATCAGTGTGCGCTCAAACAAAGCACGAAGTTAGAGCTGCTTCGCTGTGTATATTTAAAATTATCATCAACAACGGACGTGGCGAAAGGAACAGAAGTTTAGAGGAAGATCTAGTTAGTTTATCACATTCTTTGATGGCACGACCTTTCAGTTTTACAGGTTCTGGTTTATTTGAATTGGATTACAGTTTGTTGTTTGCCCTTATCGGTTCAATATCTTACTATGTTGTCATATTAATTCAATTCTCATAAATTCTGGATATTTTACTCCATTTTTAGATTAACGTAAAATAAAATTATCGACTGTGACTAAATAGTTTTAGCATTTACATTATCAAAGGTTAAAACTAAATACTGTCTGTAATTTGTTTTTGTAATTTTTTCTGAATTTCAATGAATTGTGGCAGTGCAAAACATAATAAACTTGAAAATTTTTAAAATTCTTGACAAATTCCATTTAAACAACTGTTCTTTATAAAAGGTCTGTTGCATCGAATTGGCTGCACTTCAAGGCTATTTTTCTTGGATGAAAATAATACACCGATTTATTTAGATCTACAGGGTGTTTTTAAATAAGTGCCAAATATTTTAGGGGGTGGTTGCCGAAGTTATTTTGTGAAAAAAATGTCATATACATAAACGTAGGTCGAAACATGCTTCGTGTCCGAGATATAGAGTGTTTAAATTTTAATATTTTATTTATTTTTATTAATTATTTCAGTTTTAAAGATGTTGACTTGAAATTTGAAAAACGCTTTGGAGGGATAAATGTGCATTTTTTAGGGTGATCCGAACCGAATATTTCTACTTGCACCAGTGATGTTCGTGCGAGAATGCCACAACATTTTTTAATAAAAAAAATGGTACGCCACTGACTTTTTCCCGTTTTGATATTTTTTAAGAAATCCGCCATCAATTCTGAAAGAAATTGGTCTCTGCAATTTTTTTTCATAGGATGCACCGTTTTTTAGGAAAAAAAAACATATTTTATTGCAGGTTTTGTATTTTTAATTTCTATTGATACATCTAGTCTAGTAGGTTGCTGTCAATATTTCTAAATAAAATACACCGTCAAATTTCGAGTCAATATCTTTAAAATTCTTTGAAATAATTAATAAGAATAAATAAAAAATTTAAATTTAAACCCTGTATCTTGGAAACGAAGCATATTTCGACCTACGTTTATATAAACTTTTTTTTCACAAAATAACTTCGGCAACCACTCACTAAAATATTTCGAACTTATTTACAAACACCCTGTATAGTTATCTTAGTATAATATTGCTTCATTAAAATGTTACGGGCATTTAAAATAACTTTTTTAATTTTTTTGAGCAAATTTAACTTTTTAAGATATTTCAGTGATATTACTGGAGATTGGTTTGCAGACATGACAACTGCTAATGGTTAAACAATTTAACAGCACTTATTCTTTTATTCATCACTTCGTTGTGATGGATTCTATAGAGCCAGTCAATAGATTGGGATTTAGTCAACAGGCCAATAAATCACATTACTGCAATTCATCGCATTAAAGTGAAAGAGACACAGACTTCCCAAACTGGTTGCCAAGTCGTCTATTAAACGTTTTGAAGTGAAAAGAAGTTCTAAAGAGTCTAAACCGACGAAATGGTTTTGAGAAAACGTTGGAATTTTAATACGCCACTTTATTTAATTGTAAAATAGTACTTTTATACTTCTTCCATGGAGTTAAAATGCTCAGTGTCAGGACAAAAGTCTACTTCAGTTATCAGTTAGGACAATTGAGTTTTTGGGTGCACTCTAACTTCATTAAACTTCACCCGTTTGCTAAAATTATATCGTTATTGCATGGTTGCAAACGTCCATAGCAGTAGTCAGTGGTTGAACAATTTCAAGGATAGTGGACGTCAGTTTGGTTTCGAGAGACTTATTATAGTCTTTTTTTTACAAGAAACACTGAAACTTTTCTCTCTCTGTCTCATCCGAAATGCAGTATTGTCTAGGTCTATCGTGTGTCTTGTATCTGCCCCAGTCTCTGCAACTGCTAATTTTTCTCCGTTGATATTCTTCAAGTGACACGCGTGCTCCTTTAACCTTATACCAACATGTCTTCCCGTTTGTCCAATGTATACATACCTATCCGCATGTACAGAGGAAGCTATAAAGATAGGTCCTTGAAGTAAATTGTTCTTGCAGTTCTTCTTGGAATAGGCTACCCTATTTTCCTTGAGGTGATGTAGACGGTACATCTTTGGTAGGTAGATAGGTTGTTGCAGATATCTTTTTTCCTGTCTTTTATTTTTCCAGCTTGTTCAATATTCCTATTCGTTCTAAGGGGAGATCCTAGATGTTGATGTAGTTCCCCGTCTAAGTGTTCCGAAATTGGCACGTGCTTGATATGTACTATACTGGGTTGGCTCCTATGTCTTCAAGCAGTAATGTTATCGAATTCAAAGGTGTCCAACACACAAAATATCAAAAAAATGTTATTTCAAAACGTCTATGTATATACGTTTTCAAATTACATTTTTATAACATATCTGAAACTTTTTAAGATAAATTTTCAGAAAGTTTCCAATTCGTGCATGCACCTAGTTTTTAAAAACTGTATTTTAGATGCATAATAAATTTATGAAGCCAAAGGATTCATTGAAATATACATAAAAAAATCTTGAAAAAGGAAGAAAAACAAATTTAAAACCCGTGACTTATAAGGAAGCAAGATTGTACCTGCTTTAACTTGCCGCGTATGCAAGTTAAAACATCATTACGCCAAAGAATTTATACCAAAGAAAGAATATGCCAAAGAACATCATTAATACAGTACCAACTTGACTATGGTCACTCTGTATAGTGTATATTTCCTTCCCCAGGAACTTAGCTCAAGGTCAAATATAATATTAGCCGAACCAATTTTTAAGCACCTTTTTGAAATTTGTAGTAGTAAAAATTTGTTCATATCCCAAAATATAATGACAAATATTTGAAAGAGTAATGTATTTTTACTTACCTAAAAAATCAATTAAATCAGTAGGTAGTTAATAAATATTTCTGTAAGTCAGATGCAAAAACAAACACCACACCAGTCCAGTACCTGCCACTTAAATGAAGTAACCTTAATTCCTCTTTAGGTTCCATTTACCAACTATGTCCTAATCTTAATAATTTTCGCATTACTCAATATTTTGCAATGCAGAAGACATGTATGTTACATAGCCATAACATTGAAAACTACTCGACTTTCACTTCTTGGTTGAAGTTAAATAAAGAGTCATATAATTATCGACTTGGCAACTTTTTTCTCCCAATTATGACCACTTAATGCATTTAATTATCACTTTCACTTATTGTACTTATCTACCCTTTCCTACTTATATCTATAGATAGGATGATAATTACTTCAGAATTTAGTGGTGATATTAGTGTTATGCTTAACATTTAAGTAAAGATTGAATACCTTACTAGTACTATTGTTTAATTAGTATTTAATATTCCTCTTCAACGAATGCTTACATGGTTTGTCTCAAAAAATATAACAACCAAGAAAATGGAAGATCAAAAAAAATTTAATATTATTGAAGACTTGGATCCTGGAAAAATTAGTGAAGTCTACTATATAGGGTGTCTGTCTGCTCGGCATACCGTTAAAGCGTGTTCCGAGTACAGTCTTTCCAATATCAATTGAAGAACCAAGAGGTTGACAGTATGTACCAGGTTCGGTCGCTGACGCAGCAACTCGGCATTGAAATATTCGAAAAACTTGTTCCCATATTTATTTAGCCATATCCATATACAGGTCTGTTCGAACTAAACGTGGTGGTAGAAATGTATACGCCCAGTTGAAGAATGCGAGCACGGGCAAACGAAATACAAACACAGCTGCATTAGGCCACTGGGAAATAAATCTCAGTGGTTGACAAATTGCCCAGCAGTGCAGTGCAGCAATGTGGAATTTGGTGTGATTTAATTGTAATGCAATTGTAATATGATTAATCATTGATATTACAATTTCGAAAGGGAGAAATAATATTATTATTTACCATCAATATAATACAATTGTTTGAGGACATAAATAATTAAAATATGTTGTTGGCCAAATAAACATATAATAGAAATTTTCTACACATTATATATAAATAATTATAATTTTTTACCTTTAGCGGAAAACTTTTTTAGGGACGCCTATGAAAGTCATTAAATTTTATTGCCAGGCGTTTTTTTACATGTTCAACTTTAGTCTCAGAATTCCTCCCTCCTCCCTCCTTCCACCCCTATGTGTCTGTCAAATATTTTTGGGACACCCGGTATAGACCTAGTCGTGCTATGAGGAGAAGGGAATAAAGAAAATACTTTGTATTTTATTATAATCCACACATACATTCACACATGGTGTGAACTGATATAAAAAAAATTCTAACCTAATAATTGGAATACGAATATTTCACTACATATTTAAAAATGCTTCAGAAGGGATTTTGTCAACTTTATATAAGTCTATAAATAGTGCCAGAGCTTTCTTCAGATCATAATTGCATTCTTCTAGACACCTGCAATGAATTAGTCAATTCTTAGTGTTAAAAATAGCCCTCAATTTGGGAATATAATTTATAAACAAATATGCAAACAAAACAAACAAGTTGTCAACAAAGCACTATATCTGCAACTTACAATGTAATCACAGGAAAATTGATTCATCTCCTTTTAATGTTTCTATTAATTTCTAAAGATAAAAAATGCAACACTCATGGGCGTAGCCAGGAATTTTTCTAGAATTAGGGGGGCCGTGCCTCCCCCTGCCCCCTCTGGCTACGCCCATGGCAACATTATAAACTGTGAGATTTACTTTATGATACCATACTAATTGGACATCTTGTTACAAAAATAAGGACTAACATTTTTTTTAGTTAATATCAAGAAGAAAGAAGAAATTACTTTTTAATTTAAATAAAAATGGAATTAGTGGTATTCACAAATATTTGAGAAATTTGCTATAGAATTTGATTTTTTGATCAGTTCACAGTTGGCCTTAATATTTAATTTTATTGTAATATCTAGTAAATTTGGTATCCCACAAAAATTTTTTGCTCTTTAACTCTCCATAAAAATAAAAATATCTTCCATTTATTTTATTCCGAAATGATTCATTTTACTGAAAAAAAAAAATCCTGACTACTGAATTTTAGCATCAGTTCACTAACTCATTGTATACTGTATATTAATAAGGTAGGTATATATTACTTTGAATGCTTTTAATCGAATTTAACACTGATTCTACTTGGATTATAAAACATACGCATATGAAGCTAATTTTAAAATATTTGGTTTTGATAAATACGAATTCAGTTAATTAAAAAAAGACATTTTACTTACTTTTTAGACCAGTCCGTATTTAGGTTTGTAATAATTTTAAGAGCATTTGCCAGCTGCTGCTGATCCTTAACAGTCTCCGCAACAGGTATGATATCTATACGTGTCGGTTTAGGGTTTTTAAAGCTGGTACTTAATTGCACATTTAAAGCATTATAGACATGAAGTTGTTCATTTATTATAACCCATTCCTGTCCTGCACTTAGCATTTGTAAGGCGAATGTCCTCGAAAAACCGAGACACCTCTCAGCATCCAAAAGGTTCTGAGGCAATTCTCGAAAAACCCCACATACATTAATAACTGCACAGTTTGGCTGGAAAATGATTTTAATTAATTTGATCTAAAAATTAAAACATACTGAACATTTCCAATATTTGACCCCATAAATTTGCAAAGAAATTGCCCGAGTTGGTAAGTTTCATTTATAAATCACCCTGTATAACTTATGGTAAATCACTAAAATCCCTAAAATTAGCCAATAAATCATTTCTTAATCAATTTGTTGGGTTGAAAATTAGTAAATGTAAAACTTGTTTTATATTTATTAAATTGTCCAAGGAATTGTTACAATTCGCATTTTTTTTTAGGTAGGTACTTTTTTAATATTACAATAAATTAACCGATTTATTGTGTAAATTTGAGGTTACCAATATACCTGGGGTGCCGCCCATAGAAATTTTCATTTTCAATTATGTTTTGACAGCGCTGAACATGCAGAGCTATCGTAGAGTGCGACTTACGACATATGGAACAAATTAATTTTTAATGACTGGTAGTACAGTTTAATTTTTGATCGTCTGGAACTGGTATTCAGTAAAATATTTATGACTTCTGTGGTTATAACGACTGATCTTTATTTTAAAAGTTGCTAATCTTAAATTTTACTATTGTTGGCTAATTTATTGTAACGTAAAAAAATGGCGAGTTGTAACAATTTCTTGATAAAAAAATTAGTAAATGTAATATCCATTTTACAAATACAAGTGATTTGCTGCTATCCGATACCTGAACCAATACCTATGAAAAATATTACTTATTCATAGACGTTTGATTTCTATTTTATCTTTCAATTAATACAAAAATTTTCTTACAGTGCTATAAATGACATCCACTTTAAAAGAGGACGGGTCATGTTCTGACGGTGGCAACTGATTAAAAATCTTCATTATAGTATAAGCTCCCCTAAACAGATATTCCGTATTTCGTGAAAAATCCGCAATTTTCAATAAGTTCCGAGCACAATTGTTGTATACCCTTAAACTGAAAAATGTATATTGTATTATTGTAAACTTTTATTAAGTAGTCGTATACAGGGCCATGACATGACAGAGACATTGGCGTTCCATATAAACATATGAACTCCCTTATTAGATTTTTACTAAAGATTTCAAGCACCTAGTCGTCACGCCGTGGTCCTGATGGTAACTATATTTTCAAAAATGTTTAAAAAATATTACTGTGCAGAACTAGAAGACAATTGCCCAGGAATGTACGATGCTGTGAGTGAAAACATGGCGTTAGTATGGTACAAGCCTTCCATCATCATTCGATTTCTGGAATCGTAGATAGTAAAAAAATATTCCAAAAATTGATTTGCCAAGTCGTAACAGTCTGGGTTGCAGAGGAAGTTAGGTTTTATAACTGAAAAAATTCCTTCCTTTATTAATACTCCATCCTAAAAATTTGAATTCGGACTTTAAAAAACAAATTTATAATATACATTACGAAACACAACAAATTATTTCTACTATTTTTTACAGTTACATATCCAAATACATATTAGTATTATAGTTATAAAATAGTAATACAAAGTAGCGTTACTTAAAACGATACAAACGTCACGTTCAGTACTATGCTGGTAAATTAAGGAAATTTTATCAAGTGACTGCAGATGAAACTGATCATGAAGGAGTGGAACAGTCACACACCAAAAAAACCTCGAGCAAGCAGATGTTGTCGGATCAATAAGGATATTCCTGCTCTAACTCCGGATATAATAAATGAAAAATATAGATCGATCTGAGCAGTCCGAAGTAATAATTAAGCGCAAGCTAATATTAAACTTACCAGAATAGAAATTTTTGGGCAGTAGCGTTCAACATCTTTAACATATGCAATAGTACTATCATAATTATCACATATAGGATTCTGGTCCAGCACTAGCTCAGAAACTTCAGAAGTCTTTAAAGGCATTAAATTATCAATATTTGCAATCTAAAAGTATATAAAAATACGTACATAAACTTTACCATCATAAATTATTTTGTTAGGTATCTTAAATAATTTTCACTTTCTCTTGGTCTATGTTATATTTTGTTCGTTTATGAACCGAAATAGAAACAAATGGTCGTTCTCAGTCCCCCGGTTACAAGCATATTTTAACTGTTTAAGGGATTATTTGGTTTCTGCTAATTAAAGGTCCACTAGAGACAGTTTCGACATCTAATACATTTAAATTGTAATCACTTACGAGATTATTGCTAAAATCAAGGTATACCACTTTTACCCCAGATATGGCATCCAAAGAATTTAATAATTTGATTCGATTGTGGCTTAAAATAAACCTCTCAGGTAAAGGTACCAGATGTTTTGAGAGATGTAAAACGAAGTACATAATTTTTGGTTGGGACAAGGGGCAAAATTCTGTCAATCCTAAAAGAAAAAGGTTGTTAAACAAAACTGAGTGACGATTTATAATCTATATTTTTGCAGCTGAACTACAATTTAATACTATATAATGCAGAATTTATTTAAAAAGTTTTACTAAGACTTATTTCAATTAACTCGCATAATAAAACATTCTTCCTTACCTCTTTCTTCACTAAAATTAGATAAATCGAGTGTTCTTGTTGAAGAATCATATCTTCTTGTTAAAGCACCGACGATATTTTTCTGGACATCAACCTTAAATTCACTTGTCGTGGCAAATTTTAAAATTATAGTTAATTTAAACTGAAACAGAAATAAGTAAAATAAATAAAACACATTACGCTTTACTTACTGGTTTTGAAGGGTCTTCTGGATTCGGTACTGTCAAATTATCTTTGGCCAATTTTGTTATAGCAGGACCACAATTTCTTGCAAGAAAATGAGCAGTTCCATGATCTTTACCATAAGAAACAGGTATTAAATCAAGAGGATGAACATGATCTAAAATTGCCCCTAAAATTACGTTACGTTTATGTTTTTCCGTGTTGCAAATCTAAAAATATATTTAGATTAACGATGAAACATTCCTGTTAAAAATATTTATGGTATTTCCTTCCTAAATATTTTGCCACATTATTTTCTATCTACTTAACATTATATAATTTTAGAGGCAAAAATAAATTTGTTAAACTAAGCCCTAACTGATCTTTGTTGCATTGACAAAATATTAAAAATTTCTTATTAAATACTCTTCTAGTAAATAAATGTGACATTGGCTAAAAATCTCTATTTGATCACATAACGTGCATATTTTTTTCCGCTTATGTGTTTACCCACCATAAATTTATGCCAGTGATTTAAATTATCAATCAAGTTTTTATGTTTATAAATTATTCCAGTAGGTAAATTGTTTTCATTTATAGTCACCCTATAAGAATCAAAAGTATTTGCATTCTTCATTTTCTGCCAATTTTAATAGGCAATGACTAAATGAATAACAAAATTAACCTAAAAAACAAAATATCTATGTTTTAGGATAATGTTTTTTTTTTTAGAAAGATCGAATTCTCAAACAGTGAACAGTGCTGCCGCGGCGTATTCTCTATGCGTACCCAGCGCACCACACATTAAATAGAAAATGTACTAAAACTTATTTTTCATTAATAATAATTGGCAAGTTGACAAATCAAAAATAAACACTATAACACACTACAATAAAGAAGACACTACAATCTGTGACTACAGTAAATACACAATTTTTTATAAATAGGTTTTCAAAACTGCTTAGGGTGTGCGAGTTGGAACACTCCACAGTGCTTTAGATCAGAGCAGTCAGTGCACAGGAGTAGTGTATATACAGTAGAGTAGAGATGTGTAGTTCGTGAACGAATAGTTGAAAAGAACTATTCACTTCCAACAAACTGAACGAACTGTTTCATCATTCTTTCAATGTATAGTTCGTTTTGAACTGCGAACGTGCGCGTGCGTCTAGCTAGATTATACAATGTTCATAGTATAGTGCTGGTAAAAACCGGAAAAAAGTGAAACCAGTTAACCGGGTTCCGTAAAAACCGATTTCAGATAAAATCGTTAAGTCGAATAGTTGCTAAAACCGGTTATTCGAATAACCCGTTACTTGAATCGCCAAGTTTACGAAGAAATCGATCTCCAAAAAAAAAAAGGTCAATTGCAATCGGACAAATCGATGTCTAAAAAAAAGGAAGTAGATCATCGAATAATCGGATATTTGAAGATTCCAATAACCGAAATAACCGGTTTTCGGATATTTGAAGAATCGAATAACCGAATAACCGGTTTTCGGATTTCATAAAAATTCGAATTATCCGAAACCGGTTAACCGACTATCCAAAAAACCGATTTCAGTTGCCAGCACTAGTTCATAGTAAGTATATAACATTCAAATATTTTTTTATAATGTACAATGTACCCGATAATAGGTAAGTCAAAGGTCGGAAATTGTTTGATACGGCACCGTTAGTATGTGCATACAAAATAAATTAAATATCGAAAAAAAAATCTTTTTGTAACATGCCGCGCCGGCTACTGCACGTGGCACGATGTCGGCTTCAAAAACAAACCATTGCCGCTGCCGCTGTCAGGTGTCGATGCTGAGCTGAGCAGCTCATTCGTGGTGGAGAATATAGGTAGTAAAATTGAGTCAAGGCAAAAGAACTACAGTTCATTTCGAACTGTAAAAATGAAATATTCTTTGAAGTGAGTAATTCACAAACACCCCCCGCGCGCTAACCTTTTCTGTTTCAGAGACAGCCAGGATCAAGAAACGAAGACAACGACACTCACACACACACACACACACACACACACACACACACACACACACACACACACACACACACACACACACACACACACACACACACACACACACACACACACACACACACACACACACACACACACACACACACACACACACACACACACACACACACACACACACACACACACACACACACACACACACACACACACACACACACACACACACACACACACACACACACACACACACACACACACACACACACACACACACACACACACACACACACACACACACACACACACACACACACACACACACACACACACACACACACACACACACACACACACACACACACACACACACACACACACACACACACACACACACACACACACACACACACACACACACACACACACACACACACACACACACACACACACACACACACACACACACACACACACACACACACACACACACACACACACACACACACACACACACACACACACACACACACACACACACACACACACACACACACACACACACACACACACACACACACACACACACACACACACACACACACACACACACACACACACACACACACACACACACACACACACACACACACACACACACACACACACACACACACACACACACACACACACACACACACACACACACACACACACACACACACACACACACACACACACACACACACACACACACACACACACACACACACACACACACACACACACACACACACACACACACACACACACACACACACACACACACACACACACACACACACACACACACACACACACACACACACACACACACACACACACACACACACACACACACACACACACACACACACACACACACACACACACACACACACACACACACACACACACACACACACACACACACACACACACACACACACACACACACACACACACACACACACACACACACACACACACACACACACACACACACACACACACACACACACACACACACACACACACACACACACACACACACACACACACACACACACACACACACACACACACACACACACACACACACACACACACACACACACACACACACACACACACACACACACACACACACACACACACACACACACACACACACACACACACACACACACACACACACACACACACACACACACACACACACACACACACACACACACACACACACACACACACACACACACACACACACACACACACACACACACACACACACACACACACACACACACACACACACACACACACACACACACACACACACACACACACACACACACACACACACACACACACACACACACACACACACACACACACACACACACACACACACACACACACACACACACACACACACACACACACACACACACACACACACACACACACACACACACACACACACACACACACACACACACACACACACACACACACACACACACACACACACACACACACACACACACACACACACACACACACACACACACACACACACACACACACACACACACACACACACACACACACACACACACACACACACACACACACACACACACACACACACACACACACACACACACACACACACACACACACACACACACACACACACACACACACACACACACACACACACACACACACACACACACACACACACACACACACACACACACACACACACACACACACACACACACACACACACACACACACACACACACACACACACACACACACACACACACACACACACACACACACACACACACACACACACACACACACACACACACACACACACACACACACACACACACACACACACACACACACACACACACACACACACACACACACACACACACACACACACACACACACACACACACACACACACACACACACACACACACACACACACACACACACACACACACACACACACACACACACACACACACACACACACACACACACACACACACACACACACACACACACACACACACACACACACACACACACACACACACACACACACACACACACACACACACACACACACACACACACACACACACACACACACACACACACACACACACACACACACACACACACACACACACACACACACACACACACACACACACACACACACACACACACACACACACACACACACACACACACACACACACACACACACACACACACACACACACACACACACACACACACACACACACACACACACACACACACACACACACACACACACACACACACACACACACACACACACACACACACACACACACACACACACACACACACACACACACACACACACACACACACACACACACACACACACACACACACACACACACACACACACACACACACACACACACACACACACACACACACACACACACACACACACACACACACACACACACACACACACACACACACACACACACACACACACACACACACACACACACACACACACACACACACACACACACACACACACACACACACACACACACACACACACACACACACACACACACACACACACACACACACACACACACACACACACACACACACACACACACACACACACACACACACACACACACACACACACACACACACACACACACACACACACACACACACACACACACACACACACACACACACACACACACACACACACACACACACACACACACACACACACACACACACACACACACACACACACACACACACACACACACACACACACACACACACACACACACACACACACACACACACACACACACACACACACACACACACACACACACACACACACACACACACACACACACACACACACACACACACACACACACACACACACACACACACACACACACACACACACACACACACACACACACACACACACACACACACACACACACACACACACACACACACACACACACACACACACACACACACACACACACACACACACACACACACACACACACACACACACACACACACACACACACACACACACACACACACACACACACACACACACACACACACACACACACACACACACACACACACACACACACACACACACACACACACACACACACACACACACACACACACACACACACACACACACACACACACACACACACACACACACACACACACACACACACACACACACACACACACACACACACACACACACACACACACACACACACACACACACACACACACACACACACACACACACACACACACACACACACACACACACACACACACACACACACACACACACACACACACACACACACACACACACACACACACACACACACACACACACACACACACACACACACACACACACACACACANACGGGGGCGTACGTGTCTTTTGGTGTATTTGTCTGTCTGGTATATTGTTTGTCGGGGGTCGCAATTTTAAAGAAATGTATTTTAAAGTAATGCAAATAACTGATAAATAAGTAAAAACTTACCTGGGCATAACCCCGGGACAGGTGCCTGCAACAAAGATGCCGACGGCCTCTATGCTTAGCCGGGGATTAGGTCGGTGATTAAAAGGAAAGAAAGGGATTCTTTCCAGGTAGCCTTAATAAAGGCAGGTAGATTTTGCTCGTTGCAATCACTTCACCTCACAAACAAACACGTCCGCTCAGCTCGGCTGTTCGCACTGAACTGGACTTGACGGCCTTGACTCTCCAACTCCATCAAGAGGCAAGTTCAGTTTTGCATCTAGATGCTCTAGACATATCTCCTTGTCTTTTCATCTCTTATAAATAGAAATGACCAAAAGACATCTGGAGCGTCTAGATGTTAATACCGAACTCGAACTTGCCTAAGGTTAAAATGGATGAAAGTTGGTTAATTTTTCCGTGTCCTCATCAAGTTACTTCTGAACGCAGCCATTATATTTGTGTTTGGGACACGTTCGGGATTATGGAAAATGAATAGATGGAGTTTTGAGATTTTGAGATAAAAACAATGGTGTTCTGTGATTATTTTGTAGTTTTTGTGCATTTATTGTCAAAATTTGTTTAGAATGAGTTATATATTAATCTAGAATTTATCCAAAGTTTTTATTTATGTCATACTCGATATGATGCTAAATACTGCATATGCGATACAATTCACTTCTGAAGAAATTTGTTATTTTCGATAAAAAGGTATGTAATATTTTTTTCTAGGTTAAAAACCTCAAAATTGCTCTGATATACCTACATCGAAAATTCTAGTTTTTGTGGCCTTTACTTTTTAGATAGCAGTAATAGTGTACTATTTACAGATTGGTTAAAATTTTAGGGCTGCATGTAATTTATGTATCCACTTGATAGATATTAATAAAGAAAATAATAAAACTGAAAAATAAAAACCTTATATTTAATAGTTTTTTACGAAGAATCTACGTATAACAATTGATAATCACGGAAATTGGAGGAGATATGCCAGCAGCTACGTTAGGTAGCATTCAACATCCAAATAATGAGGATTGCGGTATCCGAGATGTTTGGGCTCACAACCTGGAAGATGAGTTCCGAACAATAAGGCAGGTAGGTACTACTAAAAATATCATCAATAATTTTAAGATACATTCAGAAGTACTTAATTAATTTTTATTCGTAAATTGTAACTGTTTTTAAATTTATAGTTTGCGATTTAAATTTAACATTTTAATATAATTAAGTATCCTCATTTTATGAAATACTGTTTTATATTTATCTAACACGTTCTTACATAAATCATTGCAAAAAGTAATTTATGGTTATAATATAGTTTGCATAATACCTAACCTAATATTTTTTATAAATTTTGTCTTATTAATAAAAATGTGAGTTTAGTATTTATTATATTATAATTTCCATTTATTACCATTATTTATTGAAGGTTTATAAATAATTCTCTTAAGTAAAATGTAATAATCTGCTGAGGTACTGGCAACCACATTTAATTAATAATTTTTTTTAAGATTGTACAAAAATACCAGTATGTGGCGATGGATACAGAATTTCCAGGTGTTGTTGCTAGACCTATTGGTGAATTTAGGAGTTCCGCAGATTATCAATATCAGATGTTGAGGTGCAATGTCGATTTATTGAGAATCATTCAGTTGGGCCTTACATTTTTAGATGATAATGGTAAAACGGCTGGAGGTTCATACACAACTTGGCAGTTCAACTTTAAATTCAATCTACAGTAAGCGTATATATTTTTTTATTAGATTGTATGCATTTACCACTTTGCTTTGGTCTGTATTTTTAAGGGAAGACATGTATGCTCAGGACAGTATAGATCTACTGACTAATTCTGGGATACAGTTTAAAAAACATGAAGACGAAGGCATTGAGCCGTTAGAATTTGCCGAGCTGTTGATGTCATCGGGCATAGTACTAATGGAGAACATAAAATGGCTATCATTTCACTCTGGCTATGATTTTGGTTACCTCATCAAATTATTAACAGACAACAATTTACCTCAAGACGAAAATGAGTTCTTTGATCTGTTAAAGTTGTATTTTCCAACAATATATGATGTCAAGGTAATTTTGCAAAAAGGAATTTTGAGATTGTAACAGTTTTTTTTTAATAATTTTTAATTTTCAGTATCTTATGAAATCCTGTAAAAACTTAAAGGGTGGCCTTCAAGAGGTAGCTGAACAATTGGATTTGGAAAGGATTGGGCCCCAACATCAGGCAGGATCTGATTCCCTACTGACAGGCATGGCATTTTTTAAAATGAAGGAGGTAAGTTAATGTTTATTGTCAGGTTTAATAGAGTATGAAAATCTTTATTTTTGTATCCCTTAAAAATTCTTTATGAGCTCTTTTATGCAGGAAATGTTGAAAATGCTGCATTGCGTATATAGCTGTGCAATTTATTGTGACATTCATTAGAAAACACATTATCTACAAAAATATATTACAAATATTTTGTAATTTTATCGACATATTTTTAGAGAATCCAAAAAAATTTAAATTACAAAAAACTACATCAACTCATTTCATCATTTTCATTCATTCTGATTTTTTCAAACACTATTTCCAAACTGTTTCATTTTTAAATACGTCTATTACACACGGTAGAAATTCACAATATTCATGAGTATTATTACCATTAATTTTAGTCTTATGAGACTTGTTCATTATAACCGAAGATAAGCGAACAAATTTGACATCTACTATCGTTGAATTTGATTTTAGATGTTCTTTGAAGACACTATTGATGACTCAAAGTTTTCTGGACATCTTTATGGACTCGGTACTTCTTTCGCAGTAAATGGAACCTCAAATAACTATGCAAATGATAACGGCGACACGACGAACTCCTCATGAAATCCATTTATACTTTGTTTATTTAAGCTGTTAAGCGTAAGATAGAAAACGTGAATTATTACAATAGACATAATTCTAGCAAATTTTGTTCATAAATTAGATGATAGTTTTTTTACATTACTATAAAATATTTAAGGTTTTAACGACACACATTAAAAAAACTAACCCATTCATTTAATAAAAGAATAAATTTATGATTAGTACCCATGTCATCATTTTTACGACTTCAATTTCTTTTTGTTTCTCCTCAAATTGTGTGTTCACATTTTTAATTTTATATTATCGTTTTTAAATAAATAATTCACAGTACAAAACTACAGTGTCATTCTTTGACTGTTCGTGTAGCATTTAAAGTACACTGCCTCCCATTATTGGTGGCATGCTAGGGTATGTCGATTATTATTAATAGAAAATTGCGGTTCATGCAAATGTTGACCACCTGCTGAAAAAGGTTTATACCAAAACGAGTCTTTGTTTTTAAGTTTTTGATGTACAGGGTGTTTTTAAAAGTAGCACAAATGGTGCCGGTGAATCTACAGCTAAAAAGAACGTGTTTCTCATAAAAATGAGTTTCGTAAAATGTTCACCTCTTAGGTGACAGCCTCTCAAAGTTTCTAAAAAAAATATGGAATAGCAGCTTTAATCAAGAAAGGTATAATAGTCAACTTCTCTACGATTGAAATAAGCACCCTAAGTTATTTTTTTGCTACAACTTTTTTGTTTGACAAAAATTGATTATTCAAAAATACGTTTCATATAGCTTGGTTTATTTTAAAACTTTTACCTCCCACTTTTTTGCTCTAAAACTAACTGTTTATTAACAAAAAAATTAAATTCATTATCACTCACATTACATCGGTATAGTCTTTCCGAAGTCAGTTGAACATATATAAAAACGCCTAGCAATAAAATTTAATGAGTGTCATATGCATCCTTAAAAAAGTTTTCTGCCAAAGGTAAAAAATTATAATAATTTGTATATAATGTGTAAAAAATTTCTATTATACATATGTTCATTTGACCATCAACATATTTTAATTATTTATGTCCTCAAACAATTTTATTATATTGATGGTAAACTAAATTTCGTTTTGTTCAGTTTCAAAAGGTCTCCAAAATGCCATGTTGTAATAATATTAGTAAACCAAATATCCCTCTTATTTCTTCCTTTCGCAATTGTAATATGAATGACTAATAGAAGGTGCCTATAATAAATTAAAATTACTTGAATTACACCAAATTCCGCATTGCTGCACTGCACTGCTAAGCAACTTGTTGACAACTGAAATTTATGGCTGGTCGTCCAGTCCGGCTGTGTTTGTGCCACTTCTACCTGCGCTTATTCTTCAACTGGGCGGCCAGAGCTGTATATGGGTATAGTTAAATAAATATAGAAACAAGTTTTTCAAATATTTCAATACCTAGTTGCTGCGTTAGCGACTGAACCTGGTACATACTGCCATCCTCTTGGTTCTTCAATTGAGATCGGAAAGACTATACCATTTATGCTACTTCTTTTGAAAACAACCTGCATATGACCCAAATTCTGTTTAGTAGTTTATTTGTTTTGGTAATTGTCAAGACTAGTTGATATAATCATTATTGGTATTTATACCTTAAAAAAATTATGTAAACATCATGTATGATCACCTTTAGAAAAGAAATTTTATTGAAATTACAAAAACTGAAAAATATACAGGGGTATCGGTACAGGTATACATTTATAAAATATATAAATTTAACAAAAATTGCATACAAGTGTTTAGAATGTAATTTTGAACTAAAAAATTGCAAAAATGATAGAAAATGGAATTAGTATATTTTTTCACATCCTAATACATAACCAACGTTACCTCACTGACAATAATGTGCCATGAGCTATAGTAATAGAAGTAGGTAATTTTGTGGTTTGTCACCCTGTATATAAAATGTCCATTTTATGAGGGCAGCCGCTCAAAAAAAAATAAAAAATTGACCAAAAAATAAAAATAAAATGAAACATTTGTGAGAACCAGGAAGCTTGGTAAGTGTGGAACGTTTCCTAGTACAGTTTGTAAAAGTTGCGATACATTTTAAACTTACATTTTCTTGCAAATTAATTTTAGTTTGGTTGGTTTAAAATGTAAAATTTTCTTTGTAGAAATAATTGAAATAATTTCTTTTAACCGATTTTGGTGATCAGATGAATGTTTATGAATAGTGTTTGAGAAAATTTTAAATTATTTCAAGTAAAAAAAAACAAGGTATAAGCAGAATTTAAATTAGAAAGTACTATTAAGCCATGTAGGCAACCAGCAATACTCAAAGGTAAACTTTTTGGTTATATTTTTTTTACACCATTTCTTCACTTTAGTTTTTTTCATTTTTTTACTCCAAATGCTCCATATTTGCATCATAACTGATCATAACCATACTGGTGTAACAACGCTAGAGGTTTTTGAATGTGCTGTTATAATTATTGTGTATATAATTTGTTAGATTCATGCCTTGGTGCTAGGTAAGTCTTTTACAGTTTTTTATTGTATTGTAATCATCTAAGAGCCCTACTAGTTTCCAGTGTGGTTTATGGAAGTTCTCTTCCAACAAGCTCACACTGAAGTTGTCTTATCTCAATAAACCGCAGAAGCAAAGTGTACGCAAGGAATCAGCCCTGTTTGCAGACATTAATAAGTTTTCAGATAATTATTAACAAAAATACGTTTTAATTTGTATAAAAATGTATTGTTGTAAATGTATATACATATATAGGCAAACTATGAATACTTCCAGGAATCCCAAAAATCCTAGCACCTAAATCTAAAATGATTTGGTATTGAGTATTAGTGTGAATAGTAGCAAAACAATAAAAAAGTTACGAATTGGATTGCTGGAGTGATTATGTGTATATAAAAAATGAAAAATTGGTCTAACCTATATCTAAACCGTATAAATAGATTGAACTAAAAAAATTGTGTTTGACAAGCTCCACTTCAAGCAAATTATATTTCGGTACAGTCTTTTTGTTGCCCAAGCAAAATGCATATTTAGTGAAGCTGTGGTAATATCTATGAGAGTTACACAATTTTTTTGGCTCCATAGCCAATATAAAAACATCACAATAAAAAAACCTACTAAACTATCACAATATTATTTCTGTCAACAGGATGGAGAGTAAAAGATTTTATTAGAAACGATTTGTCTCAAAGTTGATATTTTACATTCCACTAATCATATTTTTAAATTTATATTTTCTGCGTTTAGTATCATGTCTAATGATGTGTAATAGTTAGGTACATATTTTAAATATTTAATAAATAGTTTTGATACATCAGTTATAGACTAATAAAGTTTTGTTTAACAAACCAGCAAAATAGAAAAAAGTATGTTGCTCCTTAGCGCATTTCACTTTCATCAAAAACTTCATCACAACGATAATTCTATAATAAATACATATTGCATCTTATAATTATTGATATAAAAAATTTATTACAAAAAATAATCTCGGAACTTTAGTAAAAATTTATTCTGATGATTCCGATTTATTAAGGAAACTTCACCAGATGATAGAACAAATTATTTTAAGCATTATGAATGTGGGTCTTAGTTCACTTTGTTTTCGAGATACAGGGTGTTGAAATTAGAAAAAAATATCACATTTTCTTAAATATCTCTGATGATGTTTAACGTAGACTGACAAAATTTGAGCCAGTGATTTATCTAAGTAGAACGAAAAATCTGCTAAGTTGAGTCCAGTGGTGAAGATACTAGGGTTCAGTACCATTAGAAGTCTCAGAATTCTACAAATTTAATTAGTGCTTTTTATTATTAGTGGACTTTCTAAGAAAAAACCCACATTTTGTTTGAAAAACGAACCATGTTCCTGCTCACATACATACAATATAATAAATAAATCGAAAATAACTTTAATTCTCTAAGAGTATATAGCTCCTAAAAATTTTACGTTAATCATTTTTGATGGGCTCTGGGCAAATGGACCGAGACAGAACACAGGAAATACTGGACTTCAAGGCCAGGACACAGCCATCCTAAGGAGTTCATGGAGTATCCCTCGAAGGAAAGAGCAAACGATAACTCATACGGGACACTGTCACTGTCGGAAACATCTATATAAGCTAAAGCTTGTAGACAGTCTGGTCTGCCGAGGATGTGACTCGGTGGATGAAACTTGCACGTAGTAGAATGAGGAGACCTTATTTGGAACCCAAGGAACTGAGAAAAGTGTCAGCAAGGAAGCATTTGGACTTTGTCAAAAGGGCTTATTAGGACCAACCATTAGGAAAGAAGAAGAAGAAGAATCATTTTTGAACTTTTGGATACACTACGTTCTGTTTAAAATTATATTTCTAACAAAAAATTTCCATAAACTGTTTTTGTGGAACTAATAGCTTTAGAGTTACTCGAAATATTTTTTCTTAGAATTTTAATTAGTAATAAAAATGCTAATCGCTTTTGCAGAATACTCATTGACATTGAAGTTCTGAGGCTCCTAATAGTACTGACTGATTTGTAAGTAAATTTAGCAGGTTTTTGTTTCCATTCAAATAAATCAGCGGCCTAAGTTAAACACTTTCAGAGATATTTTAGAAAATGTGACATTCTTTCTAATTCCAGCAAACTTTTTACTTAAAATAATTTGTGATATCTCCTGGTGAAGTTTATGTCTTAAAATATTGATGTCAGACTTATACAAAATTTATGTTTTAATATCTAATTAATACCATATTTTCTAAAACATGATTTAGTGATTATAAACTAGTTGTATAGCTTATACTGCAAACTTACATTTGTATCTATCTTTTTTTTTAATTCCGAATAAAAAACTAAGAAAATCTACCGCGAGTGAATTAAGTTGGAAAAGTTTTATTTCAAATAACATATACTTTTAGAATTGGTCAGTTATAACTATGCAACTAGCCTATATCTTTGAGAAAAATTCACACAATCTCTTTAGTTAGCGGAATAATCTCTGTCGGCTATATTTTGAGCTATAAATATGTCTACACATTTTATAAAATTTCAGACAATTTAAAACAATAATAAATTCTTTTCATAAAGATCCAATACGTACTTTATGTAATTTCGGTAAACTTAATCCGTGGAATAAAATTTTTTGGGACATTACATACGATTTTAACCTAAACATACACCTTCAGTCTAAAATAATCAAATAAAGTCAATAGGAAATAAAAAATTGACCTGTTTGAATGTTTCTCTTCAAAAAAGTGGAAAAGGGGTGGGGTGACGTTCTTGTACTGCATAGTATGTAGATATTCTTTTAGAGTAGAATACAGCTTTTATTTAGAGATATTCGAAAGATATTTTGGAGTTTGACATATGGACACAATACGGCTGTACGATCAAGTCTGTATGGATTAAAACAGGATAATATTTGTGAATCATTTGTTTCAGTTTTAATCACATTGTTTTAAATGACACATATTTAGTTTATATGGTTCTGATCATACAGTGAAAACTGTAGTGTATGGGACACATTATACTGAATTTTACATAATTGTCTTAGATATGTAGTTATAACTATTTAAATAGTTAATTATGAGTTATGGTATATATACTTTGACATATTTCTAAAAATTTATATATATTATTTTATTTGCTTTAGGAGCTAAAAAATTGAGTGTGATTGGTATGAAATTCCATACAGATTATTCCACAAAGAACATTGTATATCTGGATATTGTAACTAAAGACATATACTCTAACTCAAATACAGCAATTTGTATGTATTACAAATTCTCTATTAGTCTACTATACAATTTACTTTAAAAAATTCCCTTTATACAGAAGTGGTATGTCGAAAAATATATGTCGGTGATTATATGCCCATTGTTTAACCGTATTATATCTTAGTTATTCCATTCTACGTGTATCTAATTTGAGCTCTTCCCACACCTCAATATTTGCACCCTTCTCCTTTTTAATCCATCCAAATGACCAGCGCAATCCTTCTCTACCGGTTCTGAAATAGTTTTATTCGAAGTACAAAGTACGCACATATCCTGAGTAGAATGAATAATCCACTGAGTACAGCGACATCGATAATGTACGATGTCATGTCATCATTCATAGACATTTGATCTAAAAATGTCTTAGGATACTTGAAATGACAGTAGGGTACCGTACATTCCAACTTTGGCCTGTTTAGGCCATAAATAGCTATCATGCTGGCTTCGAACCCATACTTTAGGTAACTGGCATATGGTAACCACTTTATATAGTAAGGTATGTCATTTAAGTTAGAGAAGAAACCTGAGAATAACACCATCGGTATCGTTGATATTGGTCCTAAAAATACTCCACCCTGCAAAAAGAAAGTGATATTTAAAATATTTTAAGGCAATGGCTTTCAAGCAATTAATATGTATATAAAAAAGTTGCTCCTTAAATATTTTAGACTAAAAAAAACATTGATGAACCAAGAGTTTAAAGCAGTTGGTTTTTAAGATATGGGGTGTAAAAAATATCACATTTAATCAATAATAATAGCTTCACTAGTATAGTTTTCCGAGCTTGGCGGTATGTACCGGGTTAGGTCGCTACGCAACAACTCGGCATTGAAATATTTGAAAAACTTGTTCCCATATTTATTTAACCATACCCATATACAGGTCTGCGCGCGGGCAAACGGCAAACAGACACAGCCGGACTGGGCGACCAGCCATAAATTTCAGTTGTCAACAAATTACCTAGCAGTGCAGTGCAGCAATGCGGAATTTGGTATGATTCAGGTAATTTTAATTTATTTTAAGCACTTTCTATAAATCATTCATATTACAATTGCGAAAGGGAGAAATAAGAGGAATATTTTGTTTACTAATATTATTACAACATGGCATTTTGGAGACCTTTTGAAAAGGGACAAAACAAAATACCGCGAGAAAATATTGAATTAGTAGAACCGGTTGTTGATGAAAGAATTTAAAAATATAAATCTACATGTTCAATGTCGGCGTGTCATTTTAAATATTTACCGTTGTTTAAAAAAGGAAGAAAATGAAAAACCAGATAATGAAATTATAAATAGAATTCACATATATTAACTAAAGTTTCAGTGTCCACAATTTTTCGTGTTATTAAACAAGGTGTTATAGATCATTGTGTAAAGAGGAAGCGAAAACAAAAAAAAATATCGATGACATGACGAGAGATGTAATTCGGCGGACAATTTATAATTTATATAAAGAAAATTGAGGACATAAATTATTAAAATATGTTGTTTTCCAAATGAACATATAATTTTCTACAAATATACAAATTTTTATTTTTTTTTACCTTTAGCAGGAAACTTTTTTAGGGACGCTCAAGAAACTCATTAATTTTAATTGCTAGGCGTTTTTATACATGTTCAACTTACTTCGGAAAGACTATAACTTCGTCATAACTTTTCCTTTTATTTAATTTTCTGTAGTCATAATACTATCATTTGACAAGGAATTTAAAATTTCACAGATGTCTTCAATTTTCTTATTTCTCACTTTCAAATTCTACAATTTCCAACTTCACAGTATAGAATTCATATTTTTATTTTTGTTAATGAAATTTTTTCCATTATTTGTAATGTTCATACCCTTATGGTGGAATCTTTTCTTACACTGAATTGCGATGCAATTAGTATTACAATGTTCTTCCCATACTCACTTAATATGAATTTATACAATATATGAGTAATGAAATTAACTAATAAACTTGTGCTGCAAATAGTAGAAACCATCACTCACAGTTTATTGTAGAGTTCTGTTTTTTATTCAGCAACCAGTTTTTATTTCTCTTGCTATCGACATGCCACACATTAATTAAATACTTTGCAGTGTTTAAGTGAAGTATTTTAAGTATGCAAATATATCTCTGTAGATAAATATAAGTGTTTGAAGGTGATTCCAACAAAAACGATTTTAGTGGCATATATGCCAAGGTCCACCATTTACTTGCAACTAAATAAGACACTGGTGTGTATTTTATTAATCTATTGTTGTATTATTAAAACTATTTTAAAATCTTTTACTGATGACTGTGCAGACAAATGTCAAATTCTAATAATTAGACCAGACCACTTATAATATCTACTTAACAAAATAATTTACCTCAATATTGAATCCAGCACCAATTAATAAACCAAAACTTTGAGAAACTAGTGCTATTAGAACAGCCACCAGAAGAAACATTCCAAATCTTGTTGCGTCTAGCGGTTGAGATGTAATAAAATAGACCCCAATTATGTAACAAGTTGTTAAAATGATCTGAAAAAGTTGAAGGTAATCATTAACCATTTTTGGTTTGTAAACAATAATATGTAATTAAAATGAGATTGTGCTTTTTAGTAATATAACTTACTTGGAATGGTATATCAGCGAGAGTTTTTGCAAGGTAGTATGCTTTTACTGAGTACCAATAATTTAGATGCTCTCGAACGAAGACCGACATTTCTAGAGGAACTGAAAAAAAGTTAATTTAGTATGGAGATCATCAGTTACGTAAGCAGTAACTCACAAGTTAAGATTGTGGGCATCATTGCTGTGAACATCATAAACATTACGCAGAAAAATAAGCATCCTGCATTACTCGTAACTTTGGCAGCATCATTTCCTATGTCATAATAAATTAAACCTATTAGGCAGCCTATAATGAAGTGAGCGACCAATCTCATTCTTGTCAGTGTTTTATCCATGAGGATTATGTACATACTCCTTTTAAGCAATATGACGAATTGCTGGAAACCAGTGGTTGGAAATCCTGCAAAGTAATAATTTAACGGAGTTCCCCTATATTGAATGCCTTTAATACCATTTTTTTCTGATTGTGGTAGGTGTTCTGAGGAATCTAAAAGTGATGTTGTACATGTTGCTGGTGTGATGGGTGTTTTTACAGAGCCATTTGGGACCGCCACAGTTTCACCAGGAGGTCCACTCTGCTTGAAAATATCATTAGAGATCATTTTGTTTCCTTCATTGTGGCCCTGCATGATGTACTTGTTGCACTGACCTGCATTTACTGCTATTACTAGTTTTTGAACATAATCTCCATGTTCTCCACAAGCCACTTCCATCACTGGAAAATACATTTATAAATAAACATGTATGGATGTTATGTTTATTAGTTTCACCACAGAATATATAGTTAGGATATTCTGTGGTTTCACATTCAATGTGAGGATCGGAATACTAAATTGGTGGAAAAATATGGGAAGATTTGACCTCTACTGATACTTTGAAAATTTGAATTCCTGGTCCTAGACCACTGGTACACTTTAAAGAACAATGTTAAAAAACAGACAATTTTGGGCCATCAAAGGAAAAGTGTGAAACCAGTATTTTTATTCTAATTTTGGGGTGTTGAATACGAATATGGTATTTATTTTCCCGAAAACAATGGAGACATAATCAAAACAACCCCTGTATGGAGGTGAAAAACGAATTTATAATGACCAAAGAATACCATTTTAAACCACCTTCCTCGTCTTATCCCTTTATGAGGGTGAAAACGACTATTGTAGACATAAAATCCATTTTCTTGAAAAAAAATTCTTCGGTGGTCATGGTAGTTCAAATGAGAAAAAGAGACTTGACTTACATAATGTAACCCCTATGGGGATAAGGGTTTGAAAAATCTTACTCTTTCTTACACAAATTTACATAGTTGAACTTACCGTAATCAGCAGGATTGTGGTAACTGGGACAATTCAGTCCCATACTAGACAAGAACCTGACCAGCCCAGTTACGGGCCCCCTGTAAATGCACTGTCCCTCCGCCAACATATACAGGTGATCGAACATCTCGAAAAGCCGCGCCGAGGGTTGGTGAATGGTGCAGATGACAGTTCTGCCGCCCCTGGCGAGCGATTTCAACAAACACAAACACTGAAAACACGAAGAACTGTCTAGGCCGCTGGTGGGTTCGTCGAAGAACATCACCGGCGGGTTATTCACTAATTCTAGAGCTATAGAGAGCCTCTTCCTTTGTCCTCCGGACAGACTAGAGGAGTTGGTGTCTACGCAGTCCTGCAGGCCTAGCGTCTCGATGATCTCGTTGATGACGATCTTTTTCTCGGACTGCGTGATACCCTTGCCCAGTTTGAGATTTGCCGACACTTGCATGGCCTCCTTGACGGTGAGGTGTGGCGACAGGCAGTCGTCCTGCATGATGTAACAGGACATTTTCCGGAAGCGACGCAGGCTGCGCTCCTTTCCGTTTATCAGAACCTGTCCGTCGAGGTTCGAAGTTCTGCAAAATATTTTCTTTTTAATAAAGTTTACAGCGGACAAAAAAGTATGATCTAGCGATGTCTTTACATAAGTACTAATATATGTTTACATTTAAATTGGAGTAAGGATTTTAGAACAATATGTAGAAAAACTACAGTTTTTGTCAAACATCTTCTAGCGGATAAATAAAGTAATTTGGATATAAGTAAATTTGGTTGTCATTTTTGTATTCACATTAATCTAGACACATGTACTCGTATGGTCAATACTTTTACATGGTCTTCGGAAATTTATTTTCTTTTAAGTTTTGGATTTTATATGAATTTTTGTTCTAATTAATTCTATTCATAAGGAGATCAGTTGGAAAAGCAATATTCAAAATGCAGAAATATATATAATATGTAGAGATGGGTGGCCAAATGAAAATGAAACAGAGCCATTTTTAGGAACTGCGTTAAGATTGTAGAAAAACGTTCTGACCCGTCGATTTTAGATTAAAGGGGGACATTCTTTGCTGGTATTTTTGACTCCGCCACTTTCACCCCCAAGCAAGGTTAAGCATCACCCCAAAATATTTATATGGCATTGGGGGTTGAGTAATACTTCTTTTGAAAGCTCTTACAATTCTCTTTACAACAGACTTTAAATTTTATAACTCCGCCCAATACTTTGAAAAAAATTTACACTTTAAAATTTAAATTATGTTTAGTTGCTTACTAACTACTTAGTTGATTAAATGTTCAAACTGATGATCGCCCGCTTCCATACAAGAATAAAGATTTTGTACGAAACGTTCCCGCACATTCCGAAGCATTTCCGGAGTGATTCGACGGCATTCGTCAACGATTCTTTGACGCAAATCTTCCAGCGACGCTGGCTGTGTTTTATAGATTTTACTTTTTAGGTAACCCAAGGGGCGATAAATCCGGATATCGTGGAGGCCACTCAATGCTGCCTCTTCTCTCAATCCAATTCCGTAGAAAACGTTGGTCCAAATACTGACGGACAATTAACGCATAATGCGGAGCAGCACCGTCCTGTTGAAAAGTCAAATGATCATCATACTTTGGAATATTTTTAATAATATCAGTCAAGGCAGGGTCAATAGCGTCTTCCAGTAATTGCAAATACATTTGGCCAGACAAATTATTAGGTAGAAAAAAAGGACCCACCAGCCGGTCACCGAAAATTCCAGCCCATACATTTAATTTTTCCGGTTGCTGTGTATGCACCCCGTGAAAAACTCTTGGGCTTAAATCAGACCAATAGCGGCAATTGTGACGATTTACCATCCCGTTCAAGAAAAAACTGCATTCATCAGAAAAACAGATGTTAAAATAATTATTATTATTTCGCAAAATTGCAAACGGCGGTCATAATCATCCTCATGAAGTTCCTGGACTAAATGTATTTTGTATGGATGGAATTTATTCTTCTTCAAAATGGTTTGTATGCTAGTTCGATTGATCCCAGACACAGATGCGTGCTGCCTCGTACTTAATGTAGGATCAAGATGAAACTGTCCCAAAACTGCAACTTCACTAGCTTCATTAACTATAGGTTTTTTAATTTCTCGTTTTTTCAGCTTCCAAATAATACTAGAAAATAATTTGGAATCCACTAATTTTACGTTCATTGTGTATGTATAGAATTCATTTCTGTAACGCAAGAAATACTAAATTTATACCATTGGCGTACTTAACTCGAATGACTGACATTTTTACCGTTAGTAATTGTTTGTACATAAGTTTCAAATTTAAAATAAAAATTCTTGATAAGTATTGGGCGGAATTATATAATTTAAAGCCTGTTGTAAAGAGAATTATAAGAGCTTCCAAAAGAAATATTACTCAACCCCCAATGCTCCTTTAAATATTTTGGGGTGATGCTTACCCTTGCTTGGAGGTGAAAGTGGCGGAGTCAAAAATACCATCAAGGAATGCCCCCCTTTAATCTAAAATCGACGGGTCTGAGCGTTTTTCTACAATCTTGACACAGTTCCTCAAAATGGCTATGTTTCGTTTTCATTTGGCCACCCTATATATTAAATACCGTTACTGATGGTGAAAATTCGATATATTTGGAATTATTCAATTCTAGTGGCTGAAAACATACATATTAAATCTAATGTGGTTACATACATTTACTTGTTAGTCTTTGTCAAAGGTGATGTTAGAATAACATGAATAAAATATATTTTTTTGAAATATTACATTATTTTTATGTTAGCTACCTATGTGTTTGTCAATTTTAATTCAATCTTAGTATCAGTTAAGAATTTTATCTATGATCTGAAATATCTTTTGCATACTTATCGATTTCTTAATTTTCAGGTAATACACCTTTTTTATATAAAATTAAAAGCATGTCTACTAAAATGCTGAACCCGGTTGAATGTTGCGATTTTTCGAAATAATGAAATACTACTCTATATATTTCTTAATGTGTTCAGCGAAGAGTCTACTTACTTATATCCCGCCAAAATATTCATGAGGGTGCTCTTCCCAGCCCCAGAAGGGCCCATGATTCCAGTTAGTTCTCCAGATCTAAATTTTCCGTTAACACATTTTAATATAGTTTTGTACCCCCTCTTCCTTCCCTCCGACACTGAGTACGACAAGTCGATGAACTGGATGTCCACAGGGGGTCTTTTGGGCAAGTGCGTAAGTGATATTGTTGGTTTCTTTTGATTGTTGGGACTGTTGTTGAGTACTTTTCTCAAGGTGCCCGCGTTATTTATCGTCACCGACGAGGACCCATTGCAGAGGTTTGTTTGAGAACCACTGGAATAAATAAAAAAATTAAAATATATAATATATTGTTAATAACCCCAGAAAACTTAGCCAAATATCTAATATGGTGATACGGAATCAGGTCATTTCGAATCAAATACTTTCTTAAAACATGTTTTGATGAATCTTTGATTTCAACAAGTAAAAAAAAAGTAGAATATAACGTTTTTAGTGAACTTAGCGTTACACATTTTATAGCTGTAGAATTTATTTAATGGGTTTTAGCACGCAATGGTCTATCATCTGATTGAAGTGGTTTTAATTAATTTCAGCTCATACTTTATTTTATAATGATGAATCATACATTCATCTTGCTTTACTATAGCTGTGTATGACTGTATTGTGGATTATTATTTACTTTAGCCTAGACTTTAACTTTTGTTTGCTTGTATATACATTCACAAAAAAAAAATTCCTTTTATCTTTATTGCTTTTCTACGACCAACAAATTGCAAACACCAACATTTTAGAAATTTTTCTTGTGATTTCACAGAAATATGTGAATGAAAACGATGATTACAATATGTGAATATACATATTGATTCTGACAATGCATACGTTGATTTATTGACCCTGCAAAATTAAGAATAAATATCTTATTATAAATGGAGATCTGCGATATCTTGATTCTGTTCTGACGAAGGATAAAATCAAGTTTTTTAATAATGCCCCATGTTATACCATAAGAAAATCTACATGGGGGTCAAATCAGGATTTCTTGCGAACCATAATATTGTTCCCTTTATAAGAGAAACTTGATGAGTGCGGTTGATATGAAACATCTTTTTTCTAATACAGTACTCCTAAAAAGTGCTCATTAATTTGTTTAAATATTTTTTTATTTATGACCAAATTACCAGATCAACTATAGAAGTATACTTAATACATTTGATCTTATTTAATCAGTATTTGCGCTGATGAATATGAGAAAATTATATGCCTTGACCTCTCTGCCCCGTGATGACTTCCAAAAACACATAAAAGATAATTTTTTTCTTTGCTGAAGATTGAATGATTGAAATGATGCAATTAAAATAGTTAATGATATCCGCTAAATTCGATACATTTTCTTAACGTGAGTTTCTATTGTGTGTTATTTTATAAAAATATAAAAGCTATTAAGAAACTTTTTGCTTCTTCAAATGTCTTTTTTGTTTTCAAGGAACGTAATGAAATACAATTTTAATTTTCATTTGAGAAAATGTGATATTTTGATGTGTATTGTTGAACTTTATACCGAACAAACATCACCTTTGAATTAATTTAATTAATTTATTTTATGCAGTCCCTGTTAAAAATAGTAGAATAATTAGCGACAAATACAAATACATAGTTCAGTGCATAAAGTATGTTTTTTCTTCGCAGTGAGGCTTAAAGGTTTAGAACTGATAACTGATGTTTTCTTTTTTTTAATAGATAGAACCTGTTTATGTAGGTAGATTTAGTAAACATAGAGATTAAAAAATACCCTGGATCGATTTCGATTTAATTATGTGGAATCACTATTAAATTGTTTGTAGAAGAATATTTTCGTGATAACATCCTGTAGATACCACTTAGTATTATCACATGTTAAATGGTCACCAGGTTATTACTTTCAATAGTACTTGTCACTGGTAACTAGACTATACAATTGTATATTGGTATTCTCACTGCGCATTAGTTTCACTGTTTTTATGTATGTCATATTGATTGAATTCTGTTATGACTATCATCATGACTATAAATGTGACTACAAAGGTTTAATAATGTGTGTTTTTAGTTCAAATGTTTCAATTATATGCGATCTCTACAGGATGTAATAAAGCTGTTATCTTTCAAAAGTGCTCATGAATTATTTGTGAAATCTTTTCCTCTGGGGAAGAAGCACGTCAAATATATAACTAAAAAAATAGTATAAAAGAAAATTCAAAATTTGATATAAGTATACATTCACATAAATATAACTCAATAGCGAAATTTTTTTAGCGGCTCTATTCTCGAAATAATAATTTAAAATAAAAATATACCCTTTTGTAATTTCCAGAGAACCAACTCGTTTATTTTAAATCAAATATTTATTTAAAAAATAACTTAGTTTTCGAAAGTGTTATTGGAACATTTTAGATCGGAAGTTTTTGTTTATAGCTTCCTGTATAATACTACACACTATTTAAAAGTGTTATGCTAACCATTCTGCATTAGCAAAATTGAATTTTACTCCATTTTAGTTTGATTCATAAAAGGAAACATGGAAATTCATCATGGAAAAGCAGTTTATCGTGACATAGGAAACATGCGAGCACGCTAATAAAACTTGTTTTATGACTAGGCAGGTATAGATTATATGTGTAGGCATAGAATTTACTCAAAGAAAAATAGTCACTATCAAAAGTTTTCAAATAAAACATTCAAATTATAAATAGGAGCTTATTTACTTATACTTTTAAATAGAAATATAAAAGTAAACTATTTGAATCTGCATGTTTTAAATTATTCGTCACAAATTTGAATTTTCGGTTTCAAATTGTAATTGAATCGATAATATTAAAAACTACTCGTAATTGTTAGAGGTGGGAAAATGAATTCAGCAAAATATTGCAAAAAGTTGATTTTAAAATCATCTGTGATGCCCTGTATTTTAAACAAAAGACCATTGTGTACAGAAAAAATTGGTTTATTTTCAGATTTTTATCAGCTAGTTAATTTATGGTACATTTTCCAAAAACACCCTGTGTGCGAAAAATGTCTTAATATTGATATATAAGTTATCAATCAATTAATATATTGTATCAAATTTGTGATTTTCTTAAATATAATACCAACCTAACTAAAGCTGCATAAATTGACTTATAATTTCAAGGAACATGTTTTGTGCATATACATAAAAATGTTCACATACACCTTAAATGTTTAAAAACTAAAATAAATATTTTACAAATGTCATCTTCTAAGTGGCGCGACAATTTTGCATAAACTACATGAGTTGCTATGTGAAAACTAGTCATTTTGAATTAAATTGAATATAATATTAAATATAAGTTTCGCCGAAATAAGGGTAGAAACATACCTGATGATGCGTTCTATAAGGGATACCATCCAGATTATGGAACCGATGGCAACGATGAGTAATAGTATATTACGTAATAAGTGTTGTAAAAAGCATTTTACGCACGAATGGAAAAGTTACGCACGACGCCGCGTAGCGGCGAGTGCGTATTTCTATGAGTGCGTAATTGCGTTACACCACGTATTACGTACTATACTTTACCTACGACCACTACTTTAAATGCTTAAAAACACACCGTCTGCGATCAATGCAAGATTCCTATTACGTCGTACGGTAAAAAAAACGCACAGCTTGGTAAAAAAATCGTACAGTTTTCCTAGCAACCGCCTAGCAACGGTCAATACAAACAGTATTGTATTGAACGTTGCAAGGAAAACTGTGCGATTTTTTTACCGTACGTAATAGGAATCTTACATTGATCGCAGACGGTGTGTTTTTAAGTATTTACAGTAGTGGTCGTAGGTAAAATAATTTACGTGTTTCACAATGAGACATAAGTCTTATAACCATTATTCGCTTTATTTTATGTTGATGATCTAACTCTTATTTTTTTATTCTAAATATCAGTTTAGTTCTCTTTTATGTCAGTACAAGTGTTTTAAATGGAAAAAAATTGTATATTAAAACATTTTTTTACTAACTATCAAAAACCATAATTAAATAAAAAGGAGTAAATGATACAATTAACAAATAATTAATAGTATTTTATGCAAAAGCCATAATTAAATAAAAAGGAGTAAATATGCAATTAACAAATAATTACAGACAGTATTTTATGCAATTATAATTATATCCAGTTCTTTTCTACCAATCAGTTATACAACAAAATTTAATCATATTTGATGAATGCGCCAAGACAAAGGAAATAAAATAAATTAATAAATAGATAAAATAAATGCACGGCAATGATTATCTTCCTGTTCAATCACGTTTATGGAGTTATTTTTTTATATTTTATCACATGCAAAATTATGGTTTGTTGGTTATTATCTTATCGCAAATCATTTTGAAAATAAGTAAATCCCACTTGCAAAATAAATAAACACGCTGCTATACACAAAAATTGTAAATAACTTCACCTTCTTTATTATTATTTATCGTTATTTTTTTGCGTCGTACTTCCAAGCAGAGGAACTTATTATTAAGTAAATCTTCCTATAGTTTTATTTAATGAGAAACGTTCAAGCTATATTTACATACATTATATTTACCTGTTTTAACATTACGGAGCTACATTATCATGATAAAGTTCAAAGGTTCCTACTCATACTGTTTCCTAATAACAACAGACAGAAATTATCAACTGTTTCGAAATTTTAAAATGTTATAATAATAGATTAAATTAATTAGATATATTAGATAAATATGATTTTTAATATCATTATTTGTAAGTGCCAGATGAATGTATAATTATTATTCTCATGATGTCAACTATAGAAAATTTACAGTTCTACTAGTATTTGTTTCATATATAAACACCTTTTATTTTTATATTTCCTTTAATCTAATAAATTAATTATAAATACTTAATAATATTCTACAGGAAAAAAAAATCATCTGTATTTGTAGTAGAAAATAGTGTACCTATATTAGACCGATCGAAATAACTCATTTAGAGAGAGAGAGAGAGAGAGAGAGAGAGAGAGAGAGAGAAAGAAAATTGTTATCTGGACTATTATAAGTGGAAATGGTAAAGCGGCTTATAATAAACCTAAAAAATATACATGCGTGAGCAGGTGTGACGGAATGTTGATTTGGGGGGTTGAAAAGTTGTGAAAAATTGTATCATTGGGATTTCTGGTGAAAGTAGACGTCAAACAAAAAATTATCCAATACAAAAGTTGTAGACCATGCAAAAATCTACAACTTTTGTAGAGGTCACTTTTTAAGATAACCTCAAAATTTCCGAGAAAAATGCGAAAAACAGGTTTTTTTTCAGATTTTTCGTTTTTTATTTCTCATTTCCGCAAAAATAATTTAATTTTGACGAAACTTGGTGAAAGTATATCTTTCTGTGTCTTAAATAACCACAAATTTTTTTCCGAGTTTCGAAGTTTCCGAGCTCCGGTTTCCGATATTAATTTTTTCCGGTCAAACTTTTTTTTTCAAATAAAAATTCTACTTACTAAAATCATCGTAGTTCTGCCGCTGATAATTTTTTTCGTTTTGACATATACTTTTTGGTGAAATAAAAAAATCTGTGAAAAATACAAAAAAAAAACTCTCATTGTTTGACCCAAAACTTTATTTTTGTACAGTGTTGCTATAAACATAAGTCGAATAGTGAATAAATAAAATAAATAGTATATATTTTTCCGTATGATCGATTAGTGTACTTTTTTAAATTTTGATGAATTCATTGATATACAGGGTGGTCTGTGATATACAGTCTATCCAAGATAAGGTTGGAATAGCTTTAGCATTTAGGAAACGTTAAGAGATACGGGGTGGCTCAGATTAGAAAAAAAAAATGTTTTTTTATACCTAACAATATGCCGTTTAGAAAGTTTTAAAATTCCGGGTAGTTCCGGAGGTATCCGGAAAAACCCGAAATTTTGCAAAATTGTTTAATTTCTTTTCTGGTTCTATTTGAAAACGAATTTTAAAATAAATTGCATATTTACAATGCCATTTTTTTCGCTCTATACTATGGCGTCAATATTTTTGCAATCCGTCGTTTCGTCTTCGAGGGGTCATAGTCATCTTAATATTTTAAATACGTCGCTGCTATTTTTATGACAAAATCTAGTCATTTTTAATTTTGAATTAGATTATATTACGATTGTAATATACTACTATTAGCAATACTAATTAGAAATAATAAAACATTTCATAAATTCGTATAATTTTTTTTTATTAGGTACAACTTTTTAAATTACTGATTAAAAAAATTGTTGGATATTTTGTGCTGTATTGCCGTTTATACTGTTACGACTTCCTCCAATAGATATTTTGAAAGTGTTCAGAGTCGTACTCAGGAAAAATTTTAAATGATAGCTAAAACAAGCTAAAAACTTTTTACAACTACGATTACAAAATGAATATCTCAGAAATTTCTTGATTTTTTTATCTAAAAAAATGTGGTTATTTAAAACACAGAAAGGTATACTTTCACCACGTTTCGTCAAAATTAAATTATTTTTGCGGAAATGAGAAATAAAAAACAAAAAACCTGTTTTGCGCATTTTTCTCGGAAATGATGAGGTTATCTTAAAAAATGACTTCTACAAAAGTTGTAGATTTTTGCATGATCTACAACTTTTGTATTGGATACTTTTTTGTCTGATGTCAACTTTCGCCAGAAATCCCAATGATACAATTTTTCACAACTTTTCAACCCCACAAATCAACCCTCTGTCACCCCTGCTCACGCATTTATTTTTTTTAGGTTTATTATAAGCTCTTTTACCATTTGCACTCAGAAAAGTCCAGGTAACAATTTTTTTTTTCTTCAAGTGTAATTTGGTTGGACTATATTGTGAAAATATTTGCTAAAACATATTACTATAATTTTGTTTTTATTTGAAATTTTTGATAGTTTTCAAAAGATATAGGGATATATCTGACCGTGGCAAGCGCAGTAAGAGTTCTGTTTGTGAATTTTACGCTTTTATTACATTATATTAGTTAGATTTAGTTTTATCAAATATACAGACGTGTGAAGGGTTGTTCTTGGTAATTGTCCTGGTAGTGAATAATTGCAATAATACTTGAAAAACTGGAAGATATCAATACGGTGTTAAAATTTCTTATTTATTGGCACCTGATAAGTAGTTGCAAAATATTAGTGATATATGTATGATATGTAGACATTAACTGTAATCATCTTTAACTGTTCGCCAAATTGGTTTGTTGACTCCACTTAAACATTGTCTGTACTTAAACAATGTTTGTTTTATTTCAGAATTATACTATTTTCTTCCTAATTTTACGTGTGTTGTTTTTGTAACTTTATTTAATATAATCGTTGTTTAAATAACATTTATGTGTAATAATTTGTGGTGTACGTTTCTCCAGTATTCCAAGATAATTTCTAGAGAAACTGTATTATAGAATTTTTTTATAATTGTCAAGGGTAACGTGCTAGCAAAAGCATATACAAAAATCGTAGAAAATCCATTAAATATTGAGATTTTATTAGTCAAAAAATTGTATCATTGGAGTTAATGTGGTTGACCTTCATTTGACCTTGATCTAGACGTGACGGGGTCATATGGACACCGGGATCATGATCAGCGACCCCAAAAACATAAAGGTCAGCTAGTCTGGAAAAAAGGGCTTTTCGATTTCTGTTTGTGGGCCTGTGTATTTAACAAGACTAGCAAAATTAAACATGTATTAAAAATAATTTGTTGGTAACATGTGGCACAAATAGTATTTTTTTATACAGGTTATAGTCAACAGTGTAACAATTGTGTAATTTTTTTTTATATTTTTTTCGTGTATCAAATTAATGTACATATTATTTTCTTTGATAAAAGTACTTGTATTAAAAGAATCACCTGCATGGACAAGTTATCAATGAAATCTTTTTGGATTTTATTTACATCCTGTTATACAGGGCGTTCCAAAAACTATATGCTTTCGCTGTTTTATACCATTCAAATAAAAATAACTTAAGGAAACGGTTTTATTACGTCGTTCTTAGTATAACGTCGATGCAAACGGTCATGAGAGGTATGATATTTATTACCTTAAGGCGGAAGCATTGTTAAGAGATTCAATTTCCTTTAATGGACAACATATTCCTTTGGCGCTGTAAGACACGGCTTCGCAATTATCCTCGCAGTCTATTGGTAGATGTATATTTACACTTTTCAAATCAGCTGTCATTTTTTCCTTCGCTTTGACATAGGTTTGCTACACTTAGAGGCTGGGTTGCAGTGAAGTTATTCCCTGTATCTGCAACAAAAAAAAATGTAAAAGTATTTTTTACTGCTGTGTTGTTCGCATACAGAAATTCATTTTAAACTACAGTACATAATTGTATCGCATCTGAATATTTGTATGTCTTATCGTACAATGTCATTTAAAAGATTTTGTTTGAATAAATATTTTGTACAAATTAATTTATTTGAAAATACATAAATAGTCCTCATATCTTTTTATAAAATATTCTGTGTTTCTTAAATAAATCTTTTATTTACTTGGTAAGTTATCGAAGTAGAACAAAAATTTATTTTTAACAAATGATTACGTAACGGAAATTTTACTTCGACTGCCAAACTTCTACAGACGGTTTGTCGGTAATAGTGCACGAAGATCTATTTATCAAAAACATAATTAATTTCATTGATTTATAAAAATTGGTCTCTCTGCCTCAGTTACTTTTTTTAGTCATCTGTTTTGGAATAAAATCGGAGAATAAAATCACATAACAGACTTTATTTTTGCCAAAAAATGAATGTAAAATATTTAGACATGTTTTACATTAATGTTTATATAAAATTAAAAAAGTAGTTCAAAATTAACATCAAAATTATTGAGACGCTATGAAGATGAAGACTCCCGAAATTAGCCCTTTTAAGCATATTGTTGGTATTTAATATCCAAAGTGTTCACGCACAAATTTGCTTGTAATTGAAAATATTAAATACCTAATGAATATTTTCTCTATTTGGCAAGTCATGTGACCCATTGAAATTATGCTACAACATACGAAATATATGGTCAAGGTGAATTTTATGATGCAACATTAGTTTAATTAACACATTGAATAGGTACTGATTTAATTCAAGTGTGGCATATAGAATATTATTATTCTGTTGTAGTATAAAGATTAAAAATATAATGAAATAAGATATACATATATTTATTTATTGGATGTTATTTTCAAAATTTTTCTCTACTAACTATGTATACAGGATGTTTATATATTGAGTAACATTAATAGATTGAATTGATTGATACAGATTTACAGACATATATAGATTGAATGATAGATCTACAGATATACAGACGTGTCGACTATGGATATATACTAGAATTTCTACATTACTTAGTTTTTTAAAAACTTCATCTGTTCATTTGATTCGTAACTGTCAAAGAAAAAATAGATCTATTGTTATGTTTGAAAACCAGGTCACTTTCGAGTTGATACTTTTTACCGCACAAAAAAAATATAAAAGGAAAGTACTTACAAATCTAATGCTTTAGAGCTAAATATTTATTACATTTGAGTTTTGAACGTTGCATTGTAAAATCCAAAATTCCCGATGGACACTGGGTACAATGAGAAATGCTAAACTGGAACAGGTTCCTATATGGGTCACAAAATTCTAGTATATGTTTAAAGTACAGAGTTTACTAATGAACACTAGGAATAAAACATCTGGGAACATATTTGATAATCGAGACTATTTATAGTACAATATTACAAAGCCTGATAAAGAATAAATGAATCTGACTCAAGTGGCTCTAATCGTATTTGTCGTTCAATTTTGATTTCGTCGCTCCCAACTAAAGACACCTGTTCAATGTTTCTGATAAAATGATATTAAGGATAAATTCTGCAGATCGGCTGATTGCTGTTCAAGGTACTATTACTGTATCATCCACAGGAAAATATTTAGTTACGTTGGTAAGTAGTAGTAGTAGTAGTAGTAGTAGTAGAACTTCTACGTAGGAGTAGTGGTTTATTTCTAAAAATATTAAGTACCACTCGTACTACTGAAATATACAACTTTTAAAATAGTTAATGGAAATTTCTCACAGTTATGAATATTTAAATTGTAGATACTTCATGAGATGTACTATTTTTAACTGATATTATAGGAAACTACTCTGCATCGTCTAGCATTAAAACCGACACTATGTAAAATTTGTTTTTATTTTTTCATTTTACTTTAAGGGCTGTAATTTTTTACATGATATTTTAGACGATCCTGTCCTAAAAAACTTTTTTTTCTAAAGGATACAAGTTAAAATCATTTGTTTTACTAGTACCTACTCCATACAAAATATATCTCAATATTTTGCAGACTGTATTTATTTGCTTAATCTTATCTAGACCGAGTAATAGCAAAATATAAGAAACTCGTTTTTAAAATAAGCTATCTGTAAATAATGCAAGGCCTTACGTTTATTTAATGAATCCCGCACACCATATGTCCTTAACCTTTCGAGTGTATGCACGAATTGGCGGCTATGAATATCTTCCCTTATAATTTAATGGAATTTCATTACATGAATGAGCGGATATTCCGAGAATATATTTAGAAGATTGATTTCAATAGCTCTTTTGTCTACGATAAGCGGAATTTATTTCACGCATAGATATATATAAGATACAAAAAAAAATTCCGGCTATGTATAAGTTCCTGTCAAATTTCACGTTAAAGCATAAAGGCTGTTTATAAATAAATTGTAAAATGATTATGACAATTATTATATACTATATTACGCATATTACAACCCTTGTGGCGGAAAGGAAAAAATCTGTAGAGGTATTAAAATGAAATTAATAACGAAAAATGTATTATAACTGACAGTAATTTTTTATATTTCACATATTAAAATTTAGATCCGCAGATTTTTGAGAATGTTCTCTTTAGATAAAATAATATTTTTATCACACTTCCGCTTATAGTAGAAGTTATTTTCTTATATTTTTGGATTCTACTAATTTTTTTATAATTTTTGATGCACAATAGCTTTAACTATACGATACGCTTCAACGATATTTTGATCACTTTTAATTAATTTTTATTACCATTTTTGGACTGCAAGTATCTAGGCACTGAATTTTTCAAAATATCTATAATATGGCTTACACAAGTAGGGTTTCAAAAAGTTACTAAAGGTAACAAAGAGTAATTTTGTAACTTTTGTCAATTTTAATACAGTTTGCAGCGTTTAACTAATGGAATGTAATATTTCAGTAAATAACTTGAAATAAATTTTTCAAATTCAAAGTAAATTGGTCTCCTCCATTTTATGCAGAAAATATTCTTAATGCGATAGTGTGAAATTACAACATTTCGTGTTGAGGAGTAATATTTTACTTTTTGATGAAAGTAAGCCTAATTAATTAACGCACACAATAAATTTTTTGAGTTGGCGTATTTCCAAGAAGAAAACTTCGTTTATTCTCTGGGGGTGTCTCATTTAGAATACGCCTACGAAAATGTCCCTGGGGTATTTCATCTCCACCCTCTACGATCAACTTCTAGCACTAAAATCATTAACTTAAGGCCTCTAGTATCATATAATTTCAACATTTCTTCAGAATAAGTTTTTTTTTTAATAGTTAGTTTACTTTATTACTTAAATCATCGCAAAATGTATGTAAAAATATGCTTAATAATATTTAATTATAGCATGTCATAGAATATGCCAATTGTTTCTAAATTTAATACATGCTGATCTAATTCAGAATTGCTTTTTCTCATATCGTAAGCAAAAACACTTTATCTACAGTTATTTATTTGATAAGTGTGTAAAGTAATACTTTTGTCAGGAGTGGGATATTTCACACACGACTTATAAACAATAATGTATGATCTGCAGAACAGTAAAAATACATTTTCAAAAATGAAAATTTTATTCACCTCCGTTACCTTACTTTAATCTTTATTGTACTTTAAAAACATCTTTTCATTGTTAGAGAAATTAATTAAGTTTAAAATATGAATTAGTAGAGAAGTCCAACAAAATTGTATAGGGTAGAAAGTAATTTGAAAGAAGCACTTTGATTTTCAATCGACGCTAGAAAAAATACGCCCACAGGTTTAATTAGCATAGTGAAAAGGGGATAACGACTTGCACCAGTAATTCAGTGGACGGAAACATTACTAAAACCAGTGCTAGAATTTAGTACTAAAATACATATTATGTATAGTCTTTCCGATATCAATTGAAGAACCAAGAGGTTGACAGTATGCACCAGGTTCGGTCGCTGACGCAGCAATTCGGCATTGCAATATTTGAAAAACTAGTTCCCATATTTATTTAGCCATACCCATATACATGTCTGGTCGAACTAAACGTGGAGGTGGTAGAAATGTGTATGCTCAGTTGAAGAATGCGAGCGCGGGCAAACGTTATAGAAACACAGCTACATTGGGCCACTGGGCAATAAATTTCAACTGTTGACAAGTGGTTGACAAATTGCCCAGCAGTGCAGTGCAGCAATGCAGAATTTGGTGTGATTCAGGTAATTTTAGTTTATTATAGGCACTTTCTATTAATCATTGATATTACAATTGCGAAAGGGATAAATAATAACAACATGGCATTTTGGAGACCTTTTAAACGGAACAAAACGAAATTTACCATCAATATATTAAAATTGTTTGAAGACATAAATAATTAAAATATGCTGTTGGCCAAATGAACATATAACATAAATTTTCTACACATTATATAATATATAAATTATTATAATTAATTACATTTATCAGAAGCTTTTTTAGGGACGCCTATGAAAATCATTAAATTTTATTGCCAAGCGTTTTTTACATGTTCAACTGACTTCGCCTGGCGTATTAAAATTCAGTAGGGGATTTTAGTAACTTCTACAATTTACTGGCATCGCGTACGGCCATTTTATTCACTTAGGCTGGACTTCGCACCAACCAGTGATGGAATTTATTACTAAAATACGCATTTACACCAGGTTACTACTCACACTGTATTAAAAAAATCCTTGAGACTGCCAGTTGAAGGAAAGGTACTTAATGTATCACGTATCCACTTACATTGTCTTTGCTAGACAATAATTTATACTTAGACATATAGTAATAATACTTAATAATAACTACAAATTAGGATACCTGTTACGTAACATAAACAATAACGCAATAAACACAGCAGTTAGCATTTAAAATTATTTTGCTGTAAAGATTTTGATGCGTCGGTCTTAGATATGGCTTTACTGATGATTATTTTATTATAGAAGTTAA